TTTGAACTCTTGATCCTTCTACCCTCGATTCCCAAGTGCTAGGATTGCAGGTGTGGACCAGCTTTCCTGCCCGTTACCGTTTTTAAATCTTATTTAAGACTGGATTTGAACACATTTTAGAAACGTCTAATTTCTTGTAGTCAGTGAAAGTCATCGGCTGCTCCAGTGTGGATGGATGGGAGTGGACGGGGTAGGCTTGGGAGCCACGTGACAAGTCAAATTAAGACTCGGACTTGGGAGCTCAGTAGGCAGAGCCCTTGTCATGCATGTTTTCGGACCTTGGAAGCTGGGCTCTCTAGCTCACTTTGAAATCCCTGTGTTCCCCTGCAAGTGGGAAGCAGACATGGAAAAGTCCCCAGGGTACCACCAGCCACGTAGCCTGGCCTGGGTGGCAGCAGACAAAAGAGAGCCTGTCTTGAAATGGATAGTGGTAGCCATACTGAGGGTGTCATCTGACCTCCACATACACAGCATTGGCCCGCGAGCACCATTACTCAAGCGTGAATGCGTGCACAGGTGTACACACCGTACACACGTGTACTCACAGAGCGAGACTGCATTCCACAGCAATTGTGTAACCTTGAGAAAGGGCTGGAACTCCCCTTCTTCATTACACAAACCAAAGTAGAAAGGGGACCTTTGCCTCACTTTCTTGCATTCATTCATTTGCTCATTTATTTAGTGTGTGTGTATTATCTATATATATATGTGTGTGTGTGTATATATATGTATATGTGTATATATGTATATGTGTATATATATGTATATGTATATATATATTTATTTGAGATAAGCTTTCTCTCTGTAGCTCAGTCTTTCCTGGAAGACTCTGTAGACCAGTCTGGCCTCCAACTCAGAGATCCCCCTGCCTCCTAGTGCTGGGATTAAAGGCGTGTGCCACCACTGTCCGGCAGAATATACAAAAAAATATACCAAAAGAGCACAACAAGGCTAGCCTCATGTACAGAGTGGGTTCCAGGCTAGCCTCATCTTCAGAGTGGGTCCCAGGCTGGCCTCATCTACAGAGTAGGTTCCAGGCTAGCCTCATCTACAGAGTGAGTTCCAGGTGAAATCCTTCTCAAAAACAAAAGAAAAAAACTTTTTTAGATTTTATGTATTTTTATTTTATATGTATGAGTGTTTTGCCTTCATGTATGTATATGCGCTGTGTACACGCTTGGTGTCTGAGGCGGCTAGAGAAGGGTATCAGGTCCCTCGGAACCAGAGTTAGACTGTTGTGAGCTGTCATGTTGGTGCTGGGAATCAAACCCGAGCCCTCTGCAGGGGCAGCAGTGTCTGAAGTGCTGAGCTGTCTCTGTAGCCCCTTGTTTTTAGTTTTTAATTATGTGTTTGTGTGTGTGTATGTGTCAGATGTAGGTTTGTATACGTGAGTACAATGTTTATAAAGGCCAGAACCGGGTGTCATAACCGGGTGTCAGTCCCTGGAGCCACCTGATGTGGGTTCTGGGGAACCTAACTGGTCTTCTGCAAGAGCAGCCGGCATTCCACTCGTCCTAAATACATAGCTATCAGCCTCCCCATCTCCCGAATGCTTATATTAAATGTGTGCACCACCAGTTCCCAGATCACCACTGAGCCGTCTCTCCAGCCCTCCTGACGCTGCCTCTGAACTTCTGGGACCACAGTTGTCACCACTGCTCCTGGCTGTGTGCGGGGCTGGGAGACTGAAGGCTTCATGCTAGACAGGCATTCTGTCCCCATACTTTGTTTTGCTTTTGAGGCACAGTATCATGGGATCCAGACTGCCCGGGTCCTCCTGCCTCTGTCTCCTGACTGGGAACCCATATGCCTCCCTCCTCACAGAGACGTTGAGATGAGCAAGTGGATCACGGGTGACAGGTACTTTTGGAATCGTTATATGAAACAGTTGGATATGCTGGGGCACAGCTGTGGTCCCAGCACTTGGGAAGAGGAGGCAGGAAGGTCAACAGTTCAAGGACACCCAGAGTTACCACACTAAAGCAGGAGAGGCGCGCCTGTGTAGTTGGACTTTTCTTTAGGCCGCTAGCTCACTAAGAATGACATGGAGACTTCATATGAGTTACAAAAACTCAACCAGTAGCTTAGGCTCTTATATATAGGAAGAGGCTGCTTGTTTGTTCCCAGCTGCTCAGCCCTGAAATAACCACACAGAAACTGTATTAACTACAACACTGCATGGCCTGTTAGCTTAGGCTTATTTCTAGCTCACTCTTATCTCTTAAATTATCCCATTTCTATTATTTTATATTTTACTATGAGGCTCGTGGCCTGCCAGCAAGGTCCCAGCATTCAAGTGTAGTTTTCCCCGCCTACTTCTATTCTGCTCTACGGAGGTCCAAGCAGTTTCTTATTTTTTTCTTTTTTTTATTATTATTAAAAATTTTCACCCCTCTCCCCTTCTCCTATTTCCCTTTCCCTCCCCCTCCCCCAGCAGTTTCTTTATTACCCAATGATATTCGCAGCATACAGAGGAGAATCCCACATCACTTATAATTTAAATTAACCTGCTTTTATTAATCTACATTTTGCCACGTGGCTCGATTACCTTTACTCTGTACTGTATGTCCGACCTCATCAGTGTCTCCCTGGCGTCTCCTCTGCACCTAGATTCTTTTTTTTTTAATATTTATTTATTTATTATGTATACAATATTCTGTCTGTGTGTATGTCTGCAGGCCAGAAGAGGGCACCAGACCTTATTCCAGATGGTTGTGAGCCACCATGTGGTTGCCGGGAATTGAACTCAGGACCTTTGGAAGAACAGGCAATGCTCTTAACCACTGAGCCATCTCTCCAGCCCCTGCACCTAGATTCTAAGCCTGAGTTCCCGCCTATTCTCTCCTGCCCAGCTATTGGTCACTCAGCTCTTAATTAAACCAATCACAAAGTGCGTTAGGCGGGAGGCAGAGGCTGGTCTCGAACTCACAGAGATCCGCCTGCCTCTGCCTCCCAAGTGCTGGGATTAAAGGCGTGCGCCACCACCGCCCGGCCAGAGACACATCTTTACAGTGTACAAAAAGATTATCCCACAGCAAGCCTGGGCTTCGCAGGACCTGTCTCAAGCAAAGGTACAGCACAAAAGAGTGACCGCCTTGTTTTGCTGTCTCTCCTGCAGTGCACACAGTTTTTGGTTCTTTGTACCCCCACCGGCATCACCATCTCAGCAGGTGTGAAGGCAAATGTCTTAGGGCTCCTGTTGCTGTGCTAGGACACCATGACCACCTGGAGCAGACTGAAGCAGAGACCATCCATGGTGGCTTGTGGCTTATCGGCTTGCTCTCCAGGGCTTACTCAGCCTGTTTCCTTGTCCTATGCGGGACCACCCACGGTGGGCTGCTGGGGCCTCCCAAATCCATCATTAATCAAGAGAAACCCCCATAGGCGCACCCACAGGCCAGTGAAGTGGGGGGCATCTTCTCACTTTTCCAGATGACTCTCTTGTTCAAGTTGACTTGACACCGGCCAGCACAGGGTGATTGTGTTGTCCTGGCACTGGCTTCTGAGCTCGTGGTTCTTTCTGCTTGTCCTTTCAAGGGAAACTTCTCTCGGGAACCACCTATTCCCTCTTGCTCTTTTGTCGTTTTGCTTCTATCCTCACTAGCATGCGCTTTTCATTGCGCCGCCTTTCCGGGTTGTGAGGTCTAATTTGTAAACTCCTGGTGGGAGTGTGTTTAAATATACTATGGCTGGGCACTATTGTGCACTCAGCCCATGAGGCAGGAGTCTGAAGTCACCCTTGGTTGTGCGAATAAGTTCACACAGGCTTAGATGAGTGGTGAGGACCATGAAGAGATGTTCTCAGACAGCAAAGGTAGCCAGGACAGGCTCAGCTCAGACCAACCAATCTCCTGGAGAAGACACCACGAGCGCGTGCGCGCGCGCACACACACACACACACACACACACACACACCGCCCCCACCAACCTGTTAAGTTGCCTGTAGGTTATACAGTGTGCTCCAGGTGTCTACCTTTCCTGATCCAGTTCTGTGCTGGGGTGGGCTGGGGTGAAATAACCCCTCACTCACTCTCCTGTAAGTAACCCCAATACAACCCACTGATTTACTGTAAATAGACATCTCCATGTCCCAACAGCCCAGTTCCAAATATACACACAGAGGCTTAATATTACTTATAAATGCTTGGCCAATTGCTCAGGCTTATCACTAACTAGCTCTTACTTTTTAACTTTTTAACTTTTGTGTATTAATCCCAGTTCTCCTTCCCTCCCCTCATTCCACTTATTATTCCTTTAAAAATGGCGGCGGTGGGTGTGTGGACAAACACAGGATAGACGAGACACACGGCTCCCATGTGGGTGCGCTTTAATGGGGAAAGGGAAACACGATAAGGGATGGGGTGTGTGAGACACACAAGGGGCCAGAGAGGGGTGAGAGAGGGGGCGAGAGAGCGAGACCTCGTGGAAGCTCGTTTTTAACGGGGGGCGCAAGGTTATCTGGGAGGAATGACCCACACCTGGGCACGCCAGCGTGCCAAGGTGTTCGTACTCCAGGAGGAGTCTGGGAGCTGTAGTTTCCAAGGAATAACATCCCAACCTTTTTGGTTTATTAAAAAAAATTAAAATGGGGGGGGGCTTTAGGGAATGGGGAATGGGGGCGTAGCCCGGTCTCTCATGACTGCTTCCTGCTGACTTTGGGCGTCGAGGGGTCCAGGGAATGTTCAGTTGGTCCGCTGGCGTTCTGGGCTGGCTGATTGAAGAAGTCACCTCCGTCCGGTTTTTCCTTCTGAGTAGCTGGGCTGGCTGATTGAAGAAGTCACTGGGATGCTGGAAGGCAAAAAATCGCATTAGTGGAGAAAGAAATTAGGGAGAAGAGATCTGGAAGGTTTGGTTAGAGGGGAAACTTAGGGGGCGGGGGAGGAGTCCTAGGAATAAAAGAAAGAAGGAGATAAAAGAAAAAAAATTAAATGATACTTATTCCGTTACTGAGCCGCTTGTGAATCTGCTTAGGTGAACTGACCTGTTAAGTGGCTTTGTTAAAAATCTGCTTACCGCTGGAGCCCTTGGCTTCGTATTTGATGATCTGTAATGGCAGCTGAATAGTTATTTAGAATTTTGGAGAAGGAAAGATGTATTAACGCAGGAGAATTAGGTGGCAGATGGGGTAGGAGGGGCTAAGCCAGGTGTCTTTTGGAACTTAAGGGAACAGGGTCCCGTCTGGGTTACCGTGTATGAAGGATTATTTTGAGCTGTGGAAATAAAGGGCTTGAGGTGTGTCAGATGGATCCAGTGGGGAACCCCTTTTAGCTTAGCAGCTGTGGGAGTTAAAAGAATTACTCTAAAGGGTCCCTGCCATTTAGGGGCAAGAGGTGAGGGGCGTTGACCTGGGGGTGAGAGCAATACCTCATCACCTATTTTAATTGGTGGAAAACATGCGTCAGTGCAGGGCTGAGGTAGAGCGTGATCCGCAAAGTCCCATAGAAGTGAACGCAGGTGTGAAAGAAGAGGGGTGAGCAGGTGATCGGGCAGGGGGGAGGTTTCTGGTGAGAGGCCGGGTGTTAAAACTGGCCGCCCATACATAAGTTCAAAAGGTGAAATGAAGAGGGGACCCTTGGGGAGGGCCCGGAGCCTGAGAAGAGCAAGGGGCAGAAGTCTTACCCAATCGAGGTGAAGTTCCTGTGACATCTTCATAAGGGCTGTCTTTAGAGAGCGGTTAGTTCGTTCTACCTTACCTGAAGACTGTGGATGGTAGGGGATATGAAAGTTCCAGGGGATTCCGAGTGCCTTGGACAGGGTTTGACAGATCTGTGACGTAAACTCTGGACCGTTATCTGACTGGAGAGAGGCTGGGAATCCAAACCTAGGGATAATCTCTCGGAGAAGAATGTCAGAGACTGTCTGGGCTCTCTTGTTAGAGGTGGGGAAAGCTTCAACCCATCCAGACATTGTATCCACCAGAACCAGGAGATATTTAATTTTCCTGACTGTGGGCATATGAGTAAAATCCAGTTGCCAGTCGGCTCCCGGGAGAGAACCTCTGGCTTGGTGGGTAGGAAAAGGGAAGCTGCGATATTTGGTCCTGGGATCTGACTTTTGGCAGATCTGACAGGAAGCAGTGGTGGCTTTTAAAAACCTGATATCGTCAGGTGTGGGTTTGACATGTGTTTTTACAAAATGAAGTAGGGCTTTTTCATTGGGATGAAAAAGCTGGTGTAGGTAGGACAGGATCTGTCGGGTGTTGGGAGATGCCTGTGGGACTGTGGGCTGTACTGTAAATACTCCCTGAGGTAGCCGAGGCAGGCCTGTATTCTGGAGTGCTGCCATCTTAGCTGCTCTGTCCGCTCGGTTGTTTCCCTTGGAGACAATGGAACTGTCAGATTGATGAGACCGGCAGTGAATAATTCCTATAGCTTTAGGGAGATAAGAAGCTTTTAGTAAGTTCATAATATGCTCTGAGTTGGTAATGGATCCTCCCTTCGCCGTGAGAAGTCCGCGCTCCTTCCAGATGGCTGCATGAGACAACAGAATATGAAAGGCATATTTGGAATCTGTGTAAACATTTAAAGACTGTCCCGCGGCTAACTGAAAAGCTCGGGTGAGAGCTATCAGTTCGGCTTGTTGATTTGTTGTAAGGGCAGGTAGTGCCCTGGCCTCGATTATCTCTGTATCTGACACTATGGCATAACCTGCTTTGCGCGTCCCGTCACATAGAAAGGAGCTGCCGTCTGTGTACCAGGTGTGAGTAGCCTGGGACAGACTGCCCTCCTGTATATGTGAGGGGTGGGGTAGTAGGTCCTCTAGGACCTCAATGCAGGAGTGAGATGGGGAATCATTAGCATTAGGTTGAGGTAGAAGATTTGAAATATTGAGAGGTTGGCAAGATTGGAAATTGATGCTCGTATCTTCCATCAGCGCCACCTGAAGGGAAAGAACTCGAGAAGGGGGTAAGGTTTGTAGACCTTTGTAGGTTAAGAGGTTAGACAGGTTATGGTGAGAGAAAACTGTAGTAGGTGCTCCAAAGGTTAGCTTTTTTGACTCACGAATAAGAAGTTCAGCAGCTGCCAAAGCACGTATGCAGGGTGCCCAGCCCCGGGTGGTAAGGTCCATCTTCTTTGATAGGTAAGCTACAGGTGCAAAGGAGGGTCCCAGTTGGTGTCCTAGGACTCCCAGGGCATAGCCCTCTTTCTCTGCTACGTAAAGAGAAAAGGGGCGGGTTAAATCCGGAAGATGGAGGGCTGGGGCTTGGATCAGGGCCTGCTGGAGTCTCCGGAAAGGTTTTGTGATGGGGTGAAGAAGGGGCTCATGTAGAGAGCCGAGAGCTGCTTCATATAACGGGCGAGCAAGGAGGGAGAAGGAGGGTATCCAGGAACGCAGGAAACCAGCCACTCCCAGGAATGATAAAACCTCTTCTTTGGTGGAAGGAACTGCAAGAGATTGAATTAGTCTTTTTCTGTCCAGAGTAATAGCCTTTTGTGTTGGGGTTATGGTCAATCCCAAATATGTTACCTGAGTCGTGGACAATTGAACTTTGCCTGGTGAGACTCTGTAGCCCTTTTTGGATAAAAAATTTAATAAGGCGGCAGTGTCAGTCCTGCTGGTCTCCAAAGATGGGCTACACAGCAGGATGTCATCGACATAGAGTATAAGCTTTGATTTAGGGAGAGGCAGAGAAAGCAGATCAGAGGCCAGAGCCTGGCCAAAGAGGTGTGGGCTGTCCCGGAATCCCTGAGGGAGAACGGTCCAGGTGAGCTGTGTAGAAAAATTAGTATCAGGATCTGTCCAGGTGAAAGCAAAGATGTTTTGAGATTGAGGGCTGAGGGGAATAGAGAAAAAGGCATCCTTGAGGTCCAAGACGGAGAAGTGGGAGGTCCCTGAAGGAATGGTGGACAACAAAGTGAGAGGATTAGGCACGACCGGGTGTAGAGGTACCACAGCAGAGTTAATGAGCCGGAGGTCCTGAACCAAACGATAAGTTCCGTTAGATTTTTTGACAGCCAATATTGGAGTGTTAAAGGGGGAAGAGGTGGGGCGAAGCAGCCCTTTTCTCAGAAGGTCAGAGACTATAGGTTTTAACCCTTTGAGGCTTTGGGAAGAGAGGGGATACTGAGCCTGGGTGACGTATCCGGTGGGGTTTTTTAACTGAATAACAACAGGGGAATGGTGTTCAGCGACAGCGGGATTTTGGGTGTCCCACACGAGAGGGTTCACTTGGGAGGCTGGAAGAGGAAAAGACATATTAGTGTCAGGAGATCGCGGGGTCAGGAGAAGCAGCAGCTGCGTCACCGACGAATCTGGAATGAAACGAGTTGGGGGCGCGAAAGAAATGAAGGCTCCCAACTTGGTTAGAAGATCTCTCCCCAAGAGTGGAACTGGGCAGGTTGGTAAAACCAGGAATGAATGGGTGAGAAAAATACCTCTAAATACGCAGTTGAGAGGCGGAGTTTGGTGAGGTAGGTAGGGGCGGGAGCTGAGGGGGGGGTAGCTGCGTAGGCGGGAAAGAGTCCTAGATCTGGGGAAATGTCTGCGCCGCGGAAAGGTTAGGGCGGGGTGCGCGGGGTGAAGACAGGATCTGTTGAAGGAAGAGGGGCGGGTGAGATGTAGCGCGGCTGAGGGGGGCGGGAAGGGGCGGTCACACGAGGCCTGGGGGGAGGAGGCTCGTCCGCCGGGTCCATGGCGGTAGCCAGAGAGGAGAGTACCTGTCGGGAAGAAGGATCTTGTGGGGAGGACAGTGCCAAGAACATGTGGGCAGGTGAACAATGAGAAACCGTAGACGGATCAGTCTTTAGAGCCATGTAAAAAAAATGTCATTACATATGTCATTTCTTTCCATTTTGCTGAGCGATGACAAAAATTAGCTAACTCATGTAAGACATCGGGGTCAAATGAGCCCTGGGGAGGCCAGCGGAGATCACCCTGTAATTTATAACAGGGCCACGTCTTGGAGCAAAGACGAAGGAGTTTATCCATTTTAATGGACGGAATGAGGGCGTGGGGTTTTAGAGATTCCAGGAGCTGACTGAGAGGGGAACCAGGGGGTATGGTCTTAGATGGTCTAGAACCCATGGCAGATAGTGGTACCGACCGCCGGACGAGCACAGCAAGTCCTCGATCCAGGCATCCGAGGAGGGAGGAGGCCGTGCTATAGGGCGAAGATTGACTCGAAACCGGCAACCGACGAGTACCAAACTCGGCCGGCAGGAGGACAATCACGCCGTTAGGGCTGACCGTACAGCCGGAAAGGTGTCCGCTCCGTTAGCGGGCCCGACGCTGGAGACACAGGTAGGAAGGAAGAACAGTAGGAAAACCAGGGCACCAAACCCTGGGAAGAAAGCGACTGAGAGCACCGAGCTCCCAGCGGCGGCAGAACCAAACCTAGCCAGGGGCAGAAGACCAGGAGAAGGACGGGGGAGGAAGGCAACTCCAACCCGGATTCGCCAGGAAAAGCCGGCCGGACGTCCCCAGGCATACCAAGGAAGGAGAAGCCCGCGGGGGTAAACTCACGAATCAGTTGGAGATGGCCGTGGCGAGAGGTGGTGGTCCCGGTTCTGACTCTGTGTCCGGCATGAGGTCCCGGACTCTGGGAGGCGCCAGAGGCCCGGAGTCCGGACCTCGGGTGGAGAATCCGGCACGAAGAAGTCCCCCAGTAGACAGCACCAATATTATTCCTTTAAAAACAGCGGCGGTAGGTATGTGGACAAACACAGGATAGACGAGACACGCGCAAAAGGAAGAGACAAGACACGCGGCTCCCACATGGGTGCGCTTTAATGGGGAAAGGGAAACACGATAAGGGATGGGGTGTGTGAGACACACAAGGGGCCAGAGAGGGGTGAGAGAGGGGGCGAGAGAGCGAGACCTCGTGGAAGCTCGTTTTTAACGGGGGGCGCAAGGTTATCTGGGAGGAATGACCCACACCTGGGCACGCCAGCGTGCCAAGGTGTTCGTACTCCAGGAGGAGTCTGGGAGCTGTAGTTTCCAAGGAATAACACCACTCCCCCCACATTTCTCTCAGTCCACCCCCCCATTCACCCATTCAATGAAGTCTGTCCCATTACTGGGTTGAGGCTTGACCAAGACCCCCTCCCTCCTTCCCCCGTGTCTAGACTGAGCAAGGTATCTCTCTATTAGCTCTTACATCTTTGTTTCTTTCCTTCCTTTTTTGTTTTGTTTTGTTTTGTTTTCCAGACAGGGTTTCACTGTCTTTAGAGCCTGTCCTGGAACTCACTCTGTAGACTGAGGCTGGCCTCAAACTCACAGAGATCCGCCTGCTTCTGCCTCCTTAGTGCTGGGTTAATGTCATGCACCACCAGTGCCCAGCCTAGCTCTTACATTTTAAGTTAACCCATATTTCTTATTTCTGCTCTGCAATGTGGTGGTGGTACCTGATTAACATGGCACGTTCATCTCCTGCTCCCTGTGCATCTGCCCTTCCTCATCCCATCATTCTCAGTTTGGCTTTCCCGCCTAATCTTCTTCTGTTCAGCTATTGGTCTGTCAGCTTGTTTATTAAACCAATTACAGCAACATGTATTCACACAGTGCAAAGGAATATTCCACAGCAGTTTACCAGGTTGAATTTTGGAAGTGGGAGGGCCTGCCTGGGCTATTTAGCCCATGGTTCAAAATTAAAAGTCAGAAACAGTGAGGTTTAGTCCTTGCCTAGCATAGAATCAAGGGTTCAGTCTCCAGCACCTGCACAAATTAAAAAGCATTGTGAAATATTCCAGCCACTTAATTAATCTATGATTCCTCACAAGACCAATCAGTGGCTGGGCAGTGGTGGTGCATGGCTTTATCCCAGCACTCTGGAGGCAGAGGCAGGAGGATCTCTGGGAGTTCAAGGCCAGCCTGATCTACAAGAGCTAGTTCCAGGACAGGAACCAAAGCTACAGAGAAACCCTGTCTCGGAAAAAAAAAAAAAAATCAGGGCTCACATGTAGTTGGCAAGTCAAGGGTTCGTCGAAGCCTGAAATAGCCTGGAGGGTCTCGTGAGCAAGCACTGGGAATCTGTTACTCCAGTGAGGGTGCACCTTCTCTTATTTGGAGATATTATGACTTGGAACCCAAGCAACAACATTCATCTGTGTTACGTGCCATACAGGCCGCTAGCTTCAGGACACGTGTAGGGATCATTTATATCCAGGTGGCGGTTGCAGTCATAAAGTCGGATCCCTGGTCCATCTGTGAGACTGTTTAGCTTTAAGTATGGAATGAAGCTACTCCATAAGCTGATTTCTCTCATCTTCCTCAGTCCGGTTTACTACACACCAGGAACGTAGGCTTCATGTATGGGAAGGATTGGTTATTAATGAAGTTAAGGGCCCCAGGTCAAAAATGAATCTGGTGAACTGGAGAAAAGGCTCAGCAGTTAAGAGCACTGGCTGCTCTCCTAAAGGTCCTGAGTTCAATTTCCAGCAACCCCAGGGTGGCTCACAACCATCTGTACTGAGATCTGGTGCCCTCTTCTGGCCTGCAGGCATCCATGCAGGCGGAATACTGTATACACAGTAAATAAATAAATCTTAACAACAACAAAAAAATGAATTTGGTGGCAAATGAGTGTCTACCAGAGTTTTGAACTGTAACCTGGTGTGGTCGGTCACACACACATAATTCCAGCACTGAAGAAACAAAGGCAGAAGAACAGGAGTTTAAGAACACCCTGGGAGAGACGGGATCCTGCTTCAAACAGAAAACGACACAAAATAGTTTTGAATTGCAACAGTTCAGTATAGAGTGTTGAGCAAAAGTCCTTTCCTTTGGGAAGCTAGATGAGTGTTACTTAAGGGCACTTCTCACTTTTCTTCTCTCTTAGATTCTTCTATTGTTGTTTAGTTTTTGAGACAGGGTCTCACCGTGGAGCCTTGGCTGGCCTGGAGTTTGCTTTGTTACCCAGGCTGACCAAGCTGGCTCCCAACTCACAGAGATCCCTCTTCCTCCCCCTCCAAATGTGTGACATCACACCCATCTTTTCTGTTTGTTTTTGTTCTTTGAGACAGATTTCTTTGTGTAGCCATCTGTCCTGGAACTGGCTCTGTAGACCAGGCTGGCCTTGAACTCACAGAGATCCGCCTACCTCTGCCTACCGAGTGCTGGGATTAAAGGGGTGCGCCACCACCGCCTGGCTATAGCTTTTATATTTTCTGTATGTATTGTGTGTGTTCACGTATGTGTGCGTGTGTGGGGGCATGCCACAGTGCAGCGCACATGTGGAGGTCAGAGGGCAACTCTTAGGGGTCAGCTTTCCCCCACATGCACCAAGCTCCCCTCAGTAGGTTGGTCGAGCCATCTCATTGACCCATCGATCATTCTTTTCCCTTCTGAATGCATTGCTGGCACTGCTTTCTCCGACGTGTAGAACCTTCCTGACCTGATCTTCATGTCTCCCTGCAGCCGTATGTGTCACTGTCTCAGCAGATGGCACCACCCAGTCCCAGGAACAGTACCCCTAATAGTAGCAGTGGGAGCAGCGGCAGCGAGCAGCTGAGCAAAACCAATCTGTACATCCGAGGACTGCAGCCGGGCACCACTGACCAGGACCTTGTCAAGCTCTGTCAGCCGTGAGTCGTGGTCCCCGGGGAAGGCTTCCAGGGCCAGCACAGATTTGCCATCACCGGCTTCCTGTCACATGCTCTTAGCTGAACTGCTAAACAGTTGTGTCCTCACACCCAGGGCATGCAGTCACAGCAGGGTCACAACGCATGCAGAACTCTTTCTTGTTGCCGCTTGTTTGGCTTTGTTGTTTTGAGACAGCCTCTCACAGATCCTAGGCTGGCCTCAAGCAAAATCACCTTGAGAAAAGGGTTCTTTAGTCAGAGCTTGAGCTGTCTTCCTGGAAAAGTCCAGGGGCGGCAGCTGGAGGCAGCTGGTCACACCCACTCAGTTCCCTTTCTCCACTTACATAGTCCTGGATCCCAGACGGGGGCAGCATTGTCCACAGTGGCTGAGGCCCTCAACGGGCATGCCAGGAATCTCTATGGTGTGCATATGTGTGTGTGTTTTTTTAAAACATGGTATCATATAGTCTAGGCTGGCCTTAAACTCCATGTTCTCCTGTGTCTGCCTCTCAAATTCTGGAGTTAAAGGCATGCGCCACCATACCCGGCTATATTTTTATTTATGTGTATATTATGTGCTTGTGTGAGTTTATATGTACCACATGTGTGGGTGTCCTGAATCTGGAGTTACAGACAGGTGTGAATCACTTGATGGATGGATGCTAGGAATCCAACCCTGGCTCTCTGGAAGAGCAGCCAGTACTCTTAAGCCCTGAGCTGTCTCTCCAGTCCCCTGTACTAGCTGTTGCTGTATAGAATCGCCTGTTCTGTTGTTGTAAATGTTGGCACTGTTGCCGGTTTGTGGCTCTTCTGGTGCTGGGAACCTACGCTTTGGTGTGTGCATATGCATTCGTACTAGGTATATTGCTGGCTCACAGGGTACCCGTCTGGGTAGCTATATACTAGAAATATGGTAGATAATACTATAAGGGTTTCCTGCTAGGCATAGTGGTCCATGCCTGTAATCTCAGCATTCAGGAAATGGAGTCAAGAAGGTTCGGGATTCAGAACCCTTTGCTGCATCGCAAACCTGAGGCCTTGTAGCCACAAGCCCTCTGCCCAGGTGCTGCATTCTGGCCTAAGAAACTTCCCTGCTCTTTTCAGCTTTAATTTGCCCTCCCAGGGTCAGCACGGAGAATGGAGTTAGGAGTCCAGAACGGGAGTGGGAAGGGCCAGTCAGGACTATAGAATGAGACCTGTCTCAAAAAAACATCAGGGAGCCAGAAAGATGGTTTAACGGTTAAGAGCATAAACTGGTTTTTGTTGTTGTTGTTTGTTTGTTTTGGTTTATTCGAAACAGAGTTTCTCTGTAGCTTTGGAGACTGTCCTGGAACTAGCCCTTGTAGACCAGGCTGGCCTCGAACTCACAAATATCCACCTGTCTCTGCCTCCCAAGGGCTGGAATTAAAGGCGTGCGCCACCACCAGCTGGCTCGCTGGGCTTGTAAACTGCTGTTAAAGATCTGAGTTTGATCTCACATTGCGCAGCTCAGTTGCCTGTAGCTGCAGCCCAGTGCCTCCGGTAGTCACAGGAGCATGGCCACACAGACACACGCATATTTGAAAATAATGAAATCTTTTTAAAAATCAAACAGCTTGGTTTGCCAGCACTCGGGAGGCAAAGGCAGGTAGATCTCTGTGAGTTCAAGGCCGATCTGGTCTACAGAGCAAGTTCCAGGACAGTTAGTGCTGTTACAGAGAGAAACCCTGTCTCAAAAAGAAAAAAAAAAAATCAGTCAAAAAAAAAATGGAGGCGTGAAGTGCAGCAGAGAAGGAACGGGTTGGGTGGAGCCTGATTGCGGGGAGCAGGGAGCTGAGCCTCTCTAAGAAGGATGTTTCTCCTGCTCAGAAGGACTTCCTGCCTTTGTCCCAGTGATCTCTTCCTGGGTTGCAGAATCCCAAACTCTGGTGGGCCTGACGGAGAGGTGTGGCCTGGGGCTGGAGGAAAGGTGTGGCCTGGGGCTGGAAGAGAGGTGTGGCCTAGGGCTGAGGGGAGGTGTGGCCTGGGGCTGGAAGAGAGGTGTGGCCTAGGGCTGGAGGGGAGGTGTGGCCTGGGGATGGAACTCCTGGTTCTATTGCAGGGGCTCCTTCTGAGGTTGGGAAGCTGTGACCCAGCTGTTGCCAGCTGCACTGGAAATTCTGGCTCAGAGTCTCAGGCTGCTCGACCACAGCAGGCTCCACCCTGGGGCCTTGATGGGGATAGCAGCTTGGATGTCCTCTGGCGGACAGCACTTCCCCTCCATCTTGGCTTATATTTGGGCTAGAATCCAAGTATGGAGCCTCAAAAGACCCTAGGACCAGCGGTCCCCACCTCCTTTTAACACGTTCTATTCCCAACCTCCAGAGCGTTCCCTGGCTTAATCCTTTAGGTCCCAGAAGCTCCCCTGAAAAAGTCGGTGGGGCAGGGGTTGGGGGGGTTGAGGTGGGGGATGGGCAGCCAGGGGTGGAAACCAACCAGTCAGCCATCCCAGCTTTAGGAATAAGAGGAGATAGCTATTTAATGCTTGATTAGTCTCAAATTTAGTTCCTGCCAACTGTTTCTGTTCAGCCCTTGTTCTTTTTGTCTTTTAAATTTAAATAACATTATTTTTTCATTTAGTTTCCATCCCAACTGCAGTCCTATCCATTCCCAGCCCCTGTCCTGTCCCCGTCCCCACCCCCCTCTGTCCCACCACAGCTGCCGCTGTTCTTTTGACCTTGGCCATGACTGCTATCTTATCCGCGATCTTCACAACACTGGAGCAGAATGTAGCTGTAGCAGCTTTTCTAGTGATGCTTCTAACACAACGTGAGAGCTGCAGGTCTCAAGCACTGGGAGCTGCGCGGGCCCCTGCCGTCAGCAAGGATTTCCAAAAAACTGAAAAACACAGACCTCTTGAGCATAGTCTGCTTTGTTTGTTTGTTTGTTTGTTTTTGTTTTGTTTTTTCGAGACAGGGTTTCTCTGTGGCTTTGGAGCCTGTCCTGGAACTAGCTCTGTAGACCAGGCTGGTCTCGAACTCACAGAGATCTGCCTACCTCTGCCTCCCGAGTGCTGGGATTAAAGGCGTGTGCCACCATTACCCGGCTTTGAGCGTAGTCTGAAAGCAGGCCACCACAGATTGATTTAACTCATTCATGAAGGCAGCAGAGGGACGGAAAACCAGGTCAGAGAGCACAGGCAGTGACCTGCTGACTCTGAAATAAGTTGGGAGAAGGTTGCAGTGGTGAGGTCACAGGACTTGTCCAAGGTCACACGGCGCAAAGGCAGCAGAACCAGATGTTAGCCAGAAAGTTTGGATCAGGCTGGTGCACTCATAAGACATCAGCAGGGTGCTGGAAAAAGGGGATCAGAGGAGCAAAGCCTCATTATTTTCAAAAAGAGGAAGATCTCTGAGTTTGAGGCCAGCCTGGTCTACAAATTGAGTTCCAGGACAGTCAGGGCCACACAGAGAAACCCTGTCTCAAAAAAAAAAAAAAAAAAAAAAAAACGGGGGGGGGGAGGACGGGACTGTAGTGTAGTGACTTTATTTCATCTGGTGCCTTTGAGGGGTTAGGGTTATTAAGGACAATGCCACAGTTGGTCTCATTGGCGTGATTAGACTGAAAAGCACAGAATAGCCGTTACTTTCCTCTTTGCCATGATAAATACCAGACGGGGCTGGAGAGATGGCTCAGTGGTTAAGAGCACTGCTTGCTTTCCTAAAGGTCCTGAGTTCAATTCCCAGCAACCACAACGGCTGCTCGTTCGTCCAGTGCCCCTCCACCTCCTAAAGCAGTGTCATCAGCTGGCAACCAAGTTTTCAGCCACAGGACGTGGGGCCATTCCCATGAAAACCATAGCAGTCTGGGTGTGACAGGGAAGCAGGGAAATCTTCCTGGATATAGGGAGTCCTTTCCCTAGACGGGGGTGGGGTGGGGTGGAATAGAAGGGGAAAGAGAGGATGCTCACTGGTGCAGGGGGAGGGGGGTAGCGTGTTCCTATTTCCTTCCCTCCCTTTCCCTTGCTCTCTGGGTGAGCACCCTCTCTGCCATGACGGACTGAAACCATGAACCTAAAGAAACTGCCTCTCCCTTAAGAGGTGTTTGTGCCAGGCATTTTGTCACGGCGATAAAAACTAACAACGGGCTGGAGAGATGGCTCAGTGGTTAAGAGCACTGACTGCTCTTCCAAAGGTCCTGAGTTCAATCCCCCAGCAACCACATGGTGGTCCACAACCATCTGTAATGAGGTCTGGTGCCCTCTTCTGGCTAACTGCATACAAAATAAATAAATATTTTTTAAAAAAAACAACAACTAACAACAGTGGCTTTTTTCCCCTGTCTTTCTTTCTTTTTTTTGAGACAAAACTATATAGGTTTGGTTGGCTCAACTCCGTAGACCAACCTGACTGTCCACTAACTCACAGACATTCACCTGGTTCTGTTCCTTGAGTGCTGGGGTCAAAGGCCTCTGCTACCACTTACTGCACAGATGACTGTTGTTGTTGTTGTTTTGGTTTTCGAGACAGGGTTTCTCTGTGTAACTCTGGCTGTCCTGGAACTCACTCTGTAGACCAGGTTGGCCTCAAACTCACAGAGATCCACCCGCCTCTGCCTCCCGAGTGCTGGAATTTAAAGACATATACATGGCAATTTAAATTAATTTTTGTCTTTTTGTTTTGTTTTTACAGACAGGGTTACTCTGTATAGTCCTAGCTGTCTTGGAACTTGCTCTGTAGACCAGGTTGGCCTTGAATTCAGAGATCCACCTGCCTTTCTTCCTGAGTGCACCACCATGCCAGGCTCTCTGTCTTGTTCTTTTTTTGTTTTGTTTTTTTGAGACACTTTGACCTCTTCTTAGCCCCTGTCCCCAGATCATGACTTTGTGTGGTTTCTTTTCCCTCAGATATGGCAAGATTGTCTCCACCAAGGCCATCCTGGACAAGACCACTAGCAAATGCAAAGGTAAGAAGGGTGGCTGCTGCGGGAGTCCAGCCTTCACCTCTGCCTCCTGCTGCTGGGAGTCTGAGCAGCCAGGTGCCAGGGAGATGCTGGGGATTTGGGACCTTCAGACTGATAGGTATGATAGGTATTTAGACTCCTGGGTAACCAGAGCCAGAGCTGAAAGAGCTGTTAGGGTCTGACCCTGGAAGACTGCCTGGAGCTCCCTTGTCTGGCTGGAGTGCACTCTGGGCCACAGTCTCCGTGGATGGACGCAGGACACATTGTCTCCACCTGCCACTGTAAACAGGACAGCCCCCAGGTGTTCTCCAGTGCTGAGCATTTTCGGTGCAGCAGTGTGAAGAGTAGGGAAGGGCAGCTCCCATCCATTCCTCTTGCCCGGCTCTACCTGCTCTATTCCTCCCTGCCCGGCATTTCTGGGGCTGTCGGAAAATGGGAGTCCTTCAGCAGTGCCTGAGGTCTAGGATTTAATACCTTAGGTCTGAAGCCCCAGGTTTTTAGGGAGAAGGAAAAAGGGCTCCATTTCCCTTGGCATCCTTAGCCTCTGGGTGAGGGGTCGCAAGGACAGGCACCTGAACACGCTCAATTTCTCTTTCTCCCGTGACATCATTTACACGGACCATAACCCTTCCTCTGTCTCCTGAAAAGCCTGGGCCTCCTACCTCCTTACGCCTCCCACCTCCCGTGATGCTGTTTCCCTGTTCCAGGCTATGGATTTGTGGACTTTGACAGTCCCTCAGCGGCCCAGAAGGCTGTCACCGCGCTGAAAGCCAGTGGTGTGCAGGCACAAATGGCAAAGGTAAGACCACCTGCCTTTCCAGGGTGACCATCAGCACCCAAGTACTGGTTTGGGGCCTCCCAGTGCTTATAAATATGAAATTGATGAGCAAGAATTATCTACAGCTTGCACAGCATGTGTGCATGAGTGTGTATGTGTGTATACATGTGTATGTATGTATATACGTGTGTCTATGTATGTGTATGTGCATGTATGTGTGCATATGTGTATACATGTGTGTATGTATTTATATGTGTGTATGTATGTGTGCGTGTATGTGTGTGTTTGTATATGTGTGTATGTATGTATGTACATATATGTGTATGTATGTGTGCGTTTGTATGTGTTTGTATATATGTATGTATGTATGCATTTGTATGTGTTTGTGTGTGTGTGTGTGTGCGCTCACAGCTTGGAGCTACCTCATGTAGGTGATGGTAATTGGACTCAGGTCCTCTGCAAGATCAGAATGTGCTCTTGACCACAGAGCCGTCTTTCTGGTAGCATCTGGACACAGGCTGAGCCGCTGGAGAAGACTGTCCTTTGTGTGGCAGACGGGCGGCCAGGCCTCTTGGCCCCCTGCTGCTTCCTCCACTTTCCTGGGACAGATGCTAACAGTTTTGCAGCATTCTCTGAAGAAGCCAGCTGTGCAACTCAGGCTCTGCAGAATGCTCTAGGCCTGCCCCCTGCTCCTACAGGGCAGGGGTGAGCTGGGAAGGGGTGGGGAAGGGATGACCTAGAGCACGCAAGGAAGAGAACTGTGTCTCTTGGGTAGAGCTCCCTGGAGCTGAGAATTTTGTATGCTCTTTTTTTTACCATGTCCGTCCCTAGAAAGCTAGAAGCCTTTGTGGTACCCTTCCTCAAGGGAGGACAGTCCCTTGCCTTGCTGAGGTGTCTCAGATACTGTGAATATCTGTGAGATACTGTGAAGGAGCTGGTAAGGGAACTGGAGTTACAGACAGTTGTGTGTCCCCATGCGGGGGCAGGGAATCGAACCCAGGACCTCTGGAAGAGCAGCCAGTGCTCTTAACCGCTGAGTCATCTCTCCAGCCCCAAGACAGCTGTTCTTTTCTCTAATGGTTAAAGGAAAATGAAGTCTGGTGTGATGGCTCAGGCCTGTGATCCCAGCACTTGGGAGGCAAAGAAGAATTGCTGAGAGTCCCAGGACAGCCTAACGTAGACTGAGAACTAGTCTCAAAAGAAAGAAGAAAGGAAAGATGGAAGGAAGAAGGGAGGAGGCAGGCAGGCTGGAGAGAGGAGAACCGATTGCTTTTACACAGGACCTGGGTTCAGGTCCCACTACCCACCTGGTACCTTAAAACCATCCTAACTCCAGTTCCAGGGGATCCAATGCCTTCTTCAGGTCTCCATGAACACTGCATACACATGGTACACAGACATACCTGCAAGCAAAACATCCACAGATGTAACGTCAAAATAAATACATTTAAAAGAAAAAACGAAGGAAGGAAGGAGAAGTTGGAAGTGAGATTAAGGTTGCTGGGAACTATTGACTAAGGCAGCATGATTACAGTCTTGAAAACAGCTCTGGGGACAGGCGCCATGTAACATGTCTGTGATCACAGAGCTTGGAGAGGGAGACAGAAGGATCAGGAGTTCAAGTTCATCCTTGGCGGCTCAGCAACTTCTAGGCCGGCCCCTCCCCGAGCGTAGCCTCTCACCTTAGCCTTGATACTGGACTCTTTAGGGCCCCAAGTAAAGCACTGAGCAGAGCAGTGCGCCTGGCTCTTTCTCTGTTTCCTCCTCCCCTTCCTGCCTCCCTTCCACCCAGGAGTAGGCACGTATTCCCACTCAGACAAGCCTGCTAAGAAGGAAGGGGGAGAGATTACTCAGAACTATGGAGTTGGCAAGGTGGTCCCAGTCCCAGGGAATCTGTAACCTCTGGTCAGGATGCTGGGCAAGAGGAGCCTTTGCTCTGCCTGGATCTCATAGAGACACCTACATGGTTGGTGGCTTGTATTAGTGATTGTGCAGTAGTAGACATAGTAAATACTGTAATTTTTCTTCCTGGGCTAGATAGATGGTACGTGATGATAGGATTGGATATTATAAGCAGTTAAGATTCTCTTTACTTGGAACCCCCTTAATGTTTCTTTTCTCAAATGTTATTTATTTTTTGTTTCTTGAGACAGGATTTCTCTGTGTGGTCCTATCTGTCCTGGAACTCACTCTGTAGACCAGGCTGGCCTCAAACTCAGAGATCCACCTGCCTCTGCCTCCTGAGTGCACCATCACCGCTGGCTCCTGAGGGTGGGATGGGGATAAAGATGTGAGTCTCAATTTTCACTTTTCATGTTCATAGCAACAGGAGCAAGACCCTACAAATCTATATATCTCAAACCTCCCTCTGTCGATGGATGAGCAGGAACTGGAGGGGATGCTGAAGCCGTTTGGTCAGGTGATTTCCACCCGAATCCTTCGAGACACTAGTGGGACCAGCAGGGGAGTTGGCTTTGCAAGGTAAGAGACTTTTTTAGATGTTTTTAAGGGTGACTAAAGAGAAATAACTTAGGGGCTGGAGAGATGGCTCAGAGGTTAAAAGCATTGCCTGCTCTTCCAGAGGTCCTGAGTTCAATTCCCAGCAACCACATGGTGGCTCACAACCATCTGTAATGAGATCTGGTGCCCTCTTCTGGCCTGCAGGCATACACACAGTACAGAACATTGTATACATAATAAATAAATAAATTTTTTTAAAAAAGAGAAATAACTTAGGAAACAACATACACACACATGCACAGGTACACACAAGCAGACACACAGGCACATACACACACAGTGCCCTTCCCCCTTACATGGACCAAAATAATGGTCAAAAAATACCTGCTAAGAACCAGGAAGGTGGACAAGGCACTTCACACCAAGCCTGATGACCTGCGTTTGATCCCCAGAACCCACCCAGTAGGAGAGAAAGGACGCTAGCAAGTTGTCCTCTGACCTCCACGTGCTGTGGTGTGCGCACACACAATAAATACATGAAATGTAATAAAACTGTTTAAACTTGGTAGTGAACCGTGCATGTGTGTGTGTGTGTGTGTGTGTAGCATGTAGCTTGAATGGGTGCCCCTGCCTCCCAGTTGCTGGGATTCCAGGCGTGCCCCACCCTGTGTGCCCCACCCCACTGTACAGCTGTCTGCTCCTGTGCTTCCCCTACCACTTCCTACTAAAGGAGAATGAACCACAGTGCAGAGACTTCATCCTCATGTCAGTAGGATGGGGTGGGAGGAAGGATTGCTCCACTTCTTAGATCTTTAGGAAGATGTGTGTGCATCGCAGAGCAGCTGCTGCCTTGGCCAACCACCGTGATGGAGAACATTTCTGAGCCTTAGCGGCTCCTGTTCTCTAGGCTGCCTGCTTCTGGGCTCCTGTGTCATGGAGCTTCAGCTGATCCTAGCCTACCTAGAAAATGATTTGCTTTTTTTTTAAAAAAAAAAAATTATTTATTTATTTATTATGTATACAATAGTCTGTCTGTGTGTTATATCTGCAGACCAGAAGAGGGCACCAGACCTCACTACAGATGGTTGTGAGCCACCATGTAGTTGCTGGGAATTGAACTCAGGACCTTTGGAAGAGCAGGCAATGCTCTTAACCACTGAGCCATCTCTCCACCCCCGATTTGCTTTTTTTTTAAAACTGATTTTTATTGAGCTCTACATTTTTCTCTGCTCCCCTCCCCTCCTCCCTTCAATCCTCCCCCAAGGTCCCCAGGCTCCCAATTTACTCAGGAGATCTTGTCTTTTTCTATTTTCTACTTCCCATGTAGATTAGCTCTATGTAAGTCTCTCTTAGTGTCCACATTGTTGTCTAGATTCTCTGGGATTGTGGTTTTTAGGCTGGCTTTCTTTGCTTTATGTTTTAAAACCACCTATGAGTGAGTACATATGATAATTGTCTGTGTCTGGGTTACCTCACTCAATATAATGTTTTCTAGCTCCATCCATTTTCCTGCAAAATTCAAGCTGTCATTATTTTTTTCTGCTGTGTAGTACCCCATTGTGTAAATGTACCACATTTTCCTTATCCATTCTTTGGTCGAGGGGCATTTAGGTTGTTCCCAGGTTCTGTCTATGACAAACAAAGCTGCTATGAACATAGTTGAGCACATGTCCTTGTGGCACGAATGAGCATCCTTTGGATATATACCCAAAAGTGGTATCACTGGGTCTTGAGGAAGGCTGTTTCCTAATTTTCTGAGAAATCACCACACTGACATCCAAAGGGGTTGTACCAGCTTGCATTCCCACCAGCAATGCAGGAGTGTTCCCTTTTCCCCACAACCTCTCCAGCATAAGTTGTCATCAGTGTTTTTGATCTTGGCCATTCTTACAGGTGTTAGATGGAATCTCAGAGTTGTTTTGATTTGCATTTCTCTGATGACTAAGGATGTTGAGCATTTCCTTAAGTGTCTTTCAGCCATTTTAGATTCCTCTGTTGAGAGTTCTCTGTTTAGGTCTGTACTCCATTTTTTTTTTATTGGATTATGTGTTCTTTTGGTGAACAATTTCTTGAGTTCTTTGTATATTTTGGAGATCAGACCTTTGTCTGATGTGGGGTTAGTGAAGATCTTTTCCCATTCTGTAGGCTGTCGTTTTGTTTTGTTGACCGTGTCCTTTGCTTTACAGAAGCTTTTCAGTTTCAGGAGGTCCTATTTATTAATTGTTTGTCTCAGTGTCTGTGCTGCTGGGGTTCTATTTAGGAAGTGGTTCCCTGTGCCAATGCATTCAAGTGGACGTCCCACTTTCTATAAGGTTCAGTGTGGCTGGCTTTATGTTGAGGTCTTTGATCCATTTGGACTTGAGTTTTTTGCATGGCAGTAGATATGGGTCTATTTTCATTCTTCTACATGTTGAAATTCAGTTATGCCAGCACCACTTGTTAAATATGCTTTCTTTTTTCCATTTAATTTTTTTTGCTTCTTTGTCAGATTTGCTTTTATTTAATTTAAGATTTTGTTTGGGTGCTGGCAAGGTAAAGGTGCTTAGTGCTGACAAACCTGCCGACCTGAGTTTGACCTCCAGATTCATGTGGAAGGAAGAAGGACTCCCTCAAGTCCTCCGATCCCCTGCTTAAACGCCCCCCCCCCAGGTCCTCCAACCTCCTGCTCACACCCCCCAGGTCCTCGGATCCCCTGCTCAGATGCCCCCCAAGCCCCCCCCCCCCGTCCTCTGCTCACACGTCCCCCAGGTCCTCCAATCCCCTGCTCCACATGCTACCCAAGCACCCCATCCCCTGCTCACACACCCCCAAGCACCCCATCCCCTGCTCACACATCCCCCAAGTCCTCTGATCCCTGATCACAGACCCCCCCAAGCCCTCCATCCCCTGCTTACACCCCCCCAGGTCCTCCAATCCCTGCTCACATGCCCCCCAGGTTCAGAGCCCGTGTATCTGATAGAATAGGGAGGATTAAGCTGGCCAGGGCTACCTAGGTCTCAACCCTGCTTGAGACAGACTGGCCATGTTGCTCAGTTGATAGAGCGCTTGACTGGTATGCATGAAGCCCTAGTTTGACCTCCAACACGGAATAAGATGGGTATGCGGTGATGTGCTTCCTTGTCATCTGGGCACTTAAAATGTGAAGGCTGGAGGATCAAAAGCTCAAGGGCGGACTGGAGAGACAGCTTAGAGGAGCGCTGGCTGCTCTGGAAAAGTTCAGGGTCAGGAGACCCTGTCTTCAAGATAAAAACAAAAACTGTTTGGGTGTCGTGTATACCCACCCTTAGGCTTGGAAGGCCAGAGCAAGAAAGTCACAATTCCGAGGCTGACCTGGGCTACTTAGAAAGTTCAGAGTTGATTTTATTAAGAGCCTGTCTCGGAAACAACAGTGGAAGCTGAACACGGTCTGAGCTGTAGCTGGGGTGGAGTCACTTGGGGTTCAAGGCCAGCCAGGGTGACAGTGAGGCTCCCCAAATAAATACATAAGATATTAAAAGTCAAACAAGCGAGTTTCACTTGAAATGAGATTCTGATACTTGTGGGGGGGAGTTGTTTTTGTTATTGTTGTTTGTTTTTTCAAGACAGGGTTTCTCTGTGTAGCTCTGACTGTTATGGAACTCACTCTGTAGACCAGGCTGGCCTCGAACTCACAGAGATCCACTTGTCTCTGCCTCCCAAGTGCTGGGATTAAAGGTGTGCATCACCACTGCCTGGCTGATACTTGTTTTTAGCTCAGAAAATACTGTGCTAAATGGTCTGAGCCTTTGTGTTTCAGCCTCTTGCCTGCTCATGAATACTCCCTTAGTGATTCTGAGACTGACGTGAACTGGGTATGGTAGCCACCCTGTAACCCTAACATTTGGGAGAGAGAGGCAGGAGGATAGGAAGCCCTTAGACAACATGAGACCTAGCTTAAAGAACAAAACATTCTTCCACCTCCCCCCGCTTTTTTGGTAACTAATAGAGGTTTTGGTTAGAAAAATTTAATAAACCCAAACTGAGTAGCGCCACCTCATGGCAATTCCCAGTATGACAAAATGAAAATTCACTGGGCTTGGATCCATCAAAATGTGGTTTGAAACACATTTTCTTTTATTTTTTTTAATTTTTATTTGATTTTTTAAAAAAGCTGAAACATGATATGGTCTTGCTGTGAAGCCCAGTCTGGCTTTGAACTTGAGATTTTCTTGCCTCAGCCTCCTAAATACTGGAACTACAGATTTGGGCCACTATGCTGAGCTCACATGTCCTCGAGGGCAGATGCTCTTAGCTCATAGTGCCCTTAGTTAGCATAGCACCTCCTCCTCCATGCCAAAAGAAATAGTCAACACGTCAAGTCATTACACGGTCAAACAGTTTGGGGTGGACTTTTTGGAGGGTTAGGATGAGGCATGCTTGCACCAGTATGTGGGTGTCAGCATCACATCTGGCCTCTCTGCATGTGCTGGGGACTGAAGGCAGATCTCCTCACCCCTGTGCCTGTTTGTTTTCTTTGCAGTAGGGCTAAAACCCCAGACTTCTATCATGCTAGGCACACAGTATGCCACTGAGCTACATCTCTGTCCTTTTGACTTTTTTTTGTTTTGTTTTCGAGACAGGGTTTCTCTGTGGCTTTGGAGCCTGTCTTGGAACTAGCTCTGTAGACCAGGCTGGTCTCGAACTCACAGAGATCCGCCTGCCTCTGCCTCCCGAGTGCTGGGATTAAAGGCGTGCGCCACCACTGCCCGGCTGACTTTTCATTTTGTGACAGCATGTCCCAGTTCGTCTTTGTTGCTGTGATAAAATCCCCCGACGAAAGACAACTTAGGAAAGACGTTTATTTCCGCTCATGGTTCTTGGTTGTCGTTCATCTCGGGAAAGTCAGGGTGAGAACCCAGCTAGTCCACTCATGCCCACAGTCAAGGCAAGCATGCCACCACTGCCCGGTGAGGAATTTTTTCTTTTAATGGTTCAGTAGCCACTTGCAAACAATTTTATTTTATTTATTTTTAAAATATTTATTTGTTATGTATACAATATTCTATCTGTGTGTATGCCTACAGGCCAGAAGAGGGCACCAGACCTTATTACAGATGGTTGTGAGCCACCATGTGGTTGCCGGGAATTGAACTCAGGACCTTTGGAAGAGCAGGCAATGCTCTTAACCACTGAGCCATCTCTCCAGCCCCTTGCAAACAATTTTAAATTTGTTTCGTGTGTACATACGTGCACGTTTGTGTGTACAGCATGTGTTGAGGTCAGAGGACAGCCATCAGGAGTTGGCTCTCTCCTAACATCGGAGTTGGCTCTCTCCTAACATCATGTGGGTTCCAGAGATGGAACTCAAGTCGCTGGGCCTGCTGGAAGGCACCTTTCCCCCTGAACCCCCTTATCAGCCCTCTTAGGAACTGTACAGTAAAGGGCAGGGACGCACCCAGTCAGTAAAGTGTTTGCTTGTTGCAGCCGCATCGCCCCTGGCTCTGTCTTTAGTACTGCATAAAAGTCGGGCATGGTGGAGCATTTCTGCAACTGCAGCACTGAGGCAGGAGCAGCGGAGGATCAAAGTCATCCTTAGAGCATTCGAGGCCAGCCAGGAGCATACACACACTCTGTCTTAAAAACAAACAAACAAACAAAAAAAAAACGAAACGCAGCTGCCTGAGATGAACACGTGTGACAGGAACTCCATGTGTGTACCACATAAAGCTTCTGGAGTATGCATGGGACTAGGGACTGAGTGTGTGGAACACGTGTGTACCCCGCACAGGGAGAGCCTCACCTCTCATATGCTTCTTAGGATGGAGTCCACAGAGAAGTGTGAAGCCGTCATCACCCACTTTAACGGGAAGTATATCAAGACGCCCCCTGGCGTGGCAGGTGAGTCCTCTGGGACTCAGGCTGGGGCCAAGGAGGAGCGTGACAAGTGTGACGGTCCAGCACCTGTCTGCTTTGTTCTCTTGCCAGCACCATCTGACCCCCTGCTCTGCAAATTTGCTGATGGCGGGCCAAAGAAACGCCAGAACCAAGGAAAATTTGTGCAAAATGGACGGGCCTGGCCAAGGAACGGAGACATGGTAGACAGACCTCTGAGGAAACACAAACCCTGAAGGCATTCACGTGGGGTGGCAGTGGCCTCAGCTTGGTTTCTGTGCACTTAGGCGGCTCTCAAGAGCAGTCTGTAGCTACGGGCTGCTGGTTGGTTCCTCACTCTTCTGTGCAGATTTGCAACCTGCAGAGTTCCAAAACCCTGTAGTGGGACTTGTGGGTACTCTGGGCTCAAAGTAAGAACCCTGTGTTCTTTCTTATAGGGTGGTATGGCCTTGACCTATGACCCCACCACAGCTCTTCAGAATGGGTAAGGATGTGTCAGTCACCTGAAAATGTCCAGACACGTGTCCAGGCACTCGGGTGTTTCATTTTGATTCTCAAAGAGCAGGTAGTGGATGGAGGGGGCTTCCTCCCTGAGCAAAGCCTTTCCCACAGGTTCTACCCAGCACCATACAGCATTGCCCACAGCAGGATGCTCGCTCAGTCAGCGCTCTCCCCATATCTCCCATCTCCTGTGTCCTCCTATCAGGTAAGGCGTGTTTGCCCCTTATTGTTTAAGTCAAGAAATAGGAAGCTTTTCTATATTGTACACATAAAAAATGTTATGTAAGAGCATAACGTGTGAAGTATGTGTGTATATAAATAGCATGTATCCCTACATGTGTATCCGCTCATACATACAATGTGTATGTATATAAACACTTTTAGAGGCATCCTCATGAGCTCGGCATGGTGTTGCACACCTTGAATCCCAGCACTTGCGAGGCCAGCCTGTTCTATACAGGACATAGGCTAGCCTGGTCTCCAGGACAGCCTGGTCTCCATAAAAGAGACCCTGCCTCAAAGGAAAAGCCATCCTCTTTCTGTTTTTACTGCCCCACAAGTAAAGGCAGCTTCGCACCCTACGACGGACACTCTCGTGGATGAAAACAGATACACAGGCATTGGCAGAAGCTTCCTCTATAAATATAGCCATATTCAACATACATTGTCACTCTCTCAACACGTTTTTAAGTCCTTTTACTTTAGTGTGTGTTTGCTTCCATGTATGTACATATGTATATTTCATGTGTGCCTGAGGTCAGGTGTTGGATTCCCTGAAACAGATGCCTGTGAGCCACAATGTGGGTGCTAGGAATCAAACTAGGGTCCTCTGGAAGAAAAATAGGTGCTCTGAACTGCTGAGCCGTCTCCCATCCCTCAATACCTTTTTGAAAAATATTTATTCTCATTCTACGTGTTTGTGTAGGTCAGAAGACAACGTGTGGCAGGTTCTCTCCCTCCACCTTGGGCTTCTAGGGATCTAATTCAGGACTTCAGATCTGGTGGCAAACACCGTATCCTGATGAGCTAGTGCACCACCCTTCTCTGTGTGGCCCTGGCTGTCCTGGAACTTGCTCCATAGGCCAGGCTGGCCTCCAACTCAGAGATCCACCTCTCTCTGTCTCCTGAGTGCTGGGATCACCCAGCCCTTTGCTTACTTTTAACTTGTTTTGTCTGATTATAAGTTCCTAATATTTAAAAACAGTTTGTTCTTTTCTCTTTTTTTGGTGGGGTGGGAGGGTATTTCAAGACAGGGTTTCTCTATAGCTTTGGAGCCTGGGCTGGAACTAGCTCTGTAGACCAGGCTGACTTCAAACTCACAGAGATTCTCAGAGTCACAGAGACTGAGAGCTGTCTACTCCAATTTTATATTCTTCTCTAGTGCTAGGATTAAAGATGTGCACCATTACTGCCCAGTTTCTATGGCGAATTAGTCTAATTGCTGGGATTAAAGGTGTGTGTCACCACTACCTGGTCTATAAGGCTGACCAGTGCGGCTGCTTTTCTCTCTGAGCTTCAGACAAGCTTTATGTATTAAAATACAAATGAACCCGGGCAGTGGTGGTGCATGCCTTTAATCCCAGCACTCGGGAGGCAGGGGCAGGCGGATTTTTGTGAGTTAGAGGCCAGCGTGGTCTACAAGAGCTAGTTCCAGAACAGGCTCCAAAGCTACAGAGAAACCCTGTCTCAAAAAAAAAAAAAAAAAAAAAAAAAAAAAAAAANAAAAAAAAAAAAAAAAAAAAAAAAAAAAAAAACAAATAAAGTATCACTATATCCATATCCTGGAAAAAAAGCAGCTTGTTTGTGTTCTGAAGGAACATGTCACATGTCAGTTGGTGGGGGCTTTGCTGAACTTCTTAGGCACTGAATCTAGGCAGTTAATGTTTTTGTTTTTGCTTATATCAGAGAGTGACCCAGACATCTCCTCTACAAGTTCCTAACCCATCCTGGATGCAACACCAGTCGTACCTCATGCAGCCTTCAGTGAGTGTTCAGAAGTGGGCAGAAGCCAGAGATGATTTGATGTAAAGAAAAGAAAAGGGCTGTGATGACGGGATCTGTGGGTGTGAGTTCTGACTTAGAGCATTGTGATGCTCGTTCTGTGAGTTCTTAGACAAAGGTCTCTGCAGACTGAAGGTCAGGGTGCTGCTTCTGTCCCAGAATTTAATTTCGAGGCCTTGAAAATGGTAGCAGATGATTCTCTAGTTCCTGTGCCATCTCCTTCCGCTCACCCAAGCCTTTAATCCCAGTACTTGGGAGGCAGAGGAGAGGAGCAGAACTTTGTGAGTTCAAGGCCAGCCTGATCTACATAGAGTTCCAGGATAGCCAGGGCTACATAGAGACACTGTCCAAAAAAAAAAAAAAAAAAAAAAAAAAAAAAAAAATGGCCCTGCTTGTCATCAGCCGCTGCTTAAGATGTCTTTGCGGGAGGTTGCTGCCTAACCATTTCCTTTGTTGCCTCCTCTAGGGCTCAGTTCTTACACCAGGGATGGACCACCCTCTTTCTCTCCAGCATGCCTCCATGATGGGACCTCTTACCCAACAATTGAGTCACCTGTCACTCAGCAGCCTGGGCACGGTAAAGGGTTGTCTCTAAGATCACTCCTCCAGAGTAAGGCTGCCCGTGAAATGCTGGCGCCAGTCCTTCCAAAGGATGGAACTGTGCTTTCAGTCAGTGAAGGCGCACTCAGGCCTGGGGTAAATGCCTTTAATCCCCGCACCAGTAGGCTGAGGAAGATATTTAAAAGTTCAAGGACAAGCTGTGAATATAGCCATTCTGCCCTACTCCCTACTTCTAGGTGCCTCCCAGAAGTTCTAAACATTTGTGCATTTGCTCAGGAACCAGTGCACATTTCCTACAATTCATCAGAATACTAAAAGGAAGGGATGGAGCAGCTGGGAAAGCAAGCAGGCCTGTCTTCAGGCCAATGTCCTCGAACACCATCGGGACCATCGTGAGAAGCCCACACACCACTAAAGGAATCTCTGCTTTTCAGAGGTCCCGAGTGTCTGAGAACCATGTTCCTTTTCATTCCAGTTCATGCCAACGGCCGCTGCTATGCAAGGAGCTTACATCCCCCAGTACCCCCCTGTGCCTTCCTCCAATGTTTCTGTCGAGGTAGGAGCATTGCTTTGAGTGAGGCAGACTTCTGTCCTGAGCAAGCACTTTCTCTCACAGCATTGCTGATTCTGGTCCTCACTAGGGGGGTGTGAGGAGTATAGGGAGGAAAGGGCTGGCTTGAGTTGCTTAATGCTCTGAAAATTAGCAGTTGTTTATATATTTCCCAAAGTAGCACCACTTCACCTTCTTTCTCCAGCTTGATGCTGTGAGCACACTTGCATTTGGGGAGTGAGTTGAGGATGCCACTCAGCTTTGGCTGTATTAGTGAGGCTTCTTCAGTGGGAGGTGAGCGTAGGAATGCATCAGTGTGGGAGGTGAGCGTAGGAATGCATCAGTAACTTTCCTTGGCTGTGATACAGGAGAGCAGTGGTCAGCAGAGTCAAGTCGCAGTGGAGACACCCACAGACCATGGGGTCTTTCCTTTCCAGTTCAGCAAGTAATGAGGTAAGAGCTGTAAGCTGGGGGCATGCTGTTACGCTGAGCTGGGAGATGGCTGCTGGGTCTCGTCATGTCCCCTCCACACCCTCTCCACCTTCTGCCCCCTTTAGGCAAGAGCCCACATCTTTGTTAAACAGAAATGCATCTCAGGAGATGCTCCCAGACTCCAGGTTACAGGCAATCTGTAGACCACACTGAGCACTAAACGTGGCCATCATTTCCTCCTAGGCCCGGGCCTGAGAAAAGAAGACTGCATGCCTGCCTTGGGCTATTTTCCTGTTGATGGAGCCTAGGGAACCATGTCGCTCTTCGTATGTGCTACATCCAAGATGAAACAACTTACACCGGCTGCCTCCCATCTTCACAGAGGTTGGGGTATGTTGGAATTACTTAGGAAGGCTTGTCAAATGATTTCTTTAAAAAGAAAGTGCTGGAAAATCGATGAAGGAGCCCTGCTTGCCAAGTTTAGTTATGGACTATTTCTGAGGTGTCATGTGTTTTAAATATGTGGACCTAAAAGTTTTTGTTTTGCAAAGCTCTCAGTTCACAGGGTCTCTGTGTAGCCCTGGCAGGCCGGCCTTGAACTCACAGGGATCCTACCCACTCCTTCTCCTGAGTGCACCACTATGCCTGGCTGCTGTTGTTTCCTTTTTTAACTTCTTGTCCAGATTGTTCTTTTCCTCTTTTCCGTTCAGCTGAGCCTTGCGTGCTTTGCCTTTTTACAGTTTTTAATTTTATGAATTTGCCTTAAATTTCATGTGGGACTGGAAAAAGGACAGTGGAGGTGGCTTTCCCTCTGCTCTGAAAAAGAGATTGGAGTTTTGACTTTGGGAAGCAGACACGTGACAACCAAATTTGGTGGCAAGTTCCAAAAGGATGATGACTACGACAGACATGGGTCTGACTGGCGCCCAGCTTCAGGAATGCCTGCTCTGCCTCCTGGAGGGTCTTCATTCTATCCCAGGTCTCACAGTCCCATCCCTGCTGCTTGTGGCCTTGCTCAGTCCCTCTAAATATCCTTCCCCCATGTGCAACTTCCGCCCCTATGAGGTTGTTGCCGTGTCTATCTTTGACAGTATTTCCCTTCCTTCTGGAGTGGCTAAATCCCCAGCCCAGCCCTGGACAGAGCCTTGTAATGTTCATCAGGAGTGGCAGCTGCACATGGGTGTACTCAACAGTCTTTAAAGCTTAGAAATTCAGCAGGAGCTGTCTCAGCAGGGCTCGCTCACATGTGTAAGCCAAATGCAGTCTGAAGGGCTAAAGGTGAGAACTGTTCACTGTGCTGGGCGTGCCTGATAAAGGACCAAGCTATTTGTGCAGTACCCTGCCCAGCCCTGGAGTGTTTGGACCCCTTCCCCCAGGGAACCAGAACACCAGAAATCATTTTCCTTCTTGTGGAGGGACAACAGGGTGCTAGGGTAGGAAAAGGCAATACATCAGCTCCTTACCGCAGGAGAGACCTTGAAATGTGTGTCTTTTAACTGTCAAATCCAGGTTTACCTCCTAGACAATCAAAGTAATGGAGAGCGAAGTGTGTTCAGAGGCTTGTGTAGGGAAGGAAGGGTTGACCGTGGTGGTGGAAAGGCACTGGCTTACAGGCGCAGCAGCTGTACACACTGCAGAACTGGGAATCCTGGTCTGATTGTACTTCAGTGCATTCTAGGAATAAAGGGCTCATGGCAGTGGTGAGCATAGTATGGGCTAGAGATGGCTCAGAGGTTGGGAGCACTGGCTACACTTCCATAGGTCACGTGTGATTTGGTGCCCTCTTCTGGCCTACAATCATACATGCAGGCAGAACACTGTAAACCTAAGTAAAAAGAATAAAATTACCAGATTTTTTCCACTGGTGCTTCCAACCTCAGGAAGGTCAGCTATATCCAGTTAAAGCCCTCAGTGACAGAACACTAAGAAGGTAGCTTTCTTGTTAGTGATCTTTAAGGAAAACCAAACCAAACCAAGCCCAGAACTCTACTGAGTGGACTGTTTGGAAGCTCTGCTGATAGCCAGGGCCAGGGTCCTGTTGTCACCACTGCCCTGTCACTACCTCTTAAAACTTGTTTCTTTTTCTGCAGCTCTAAAAGCAACTTGAACGGCTTATGGTTTTAAAATTTTAAATTACCTTCTGAGGTTTTCCTCTGTGAGTACTGTTTAGCTTCCAGTGTTTCTGGTTGAGCAGGTACAAGCATGGGAAATGAGGGTAACCTATAATTTTTTTTATAGTGGTTATTGGCACTGTGTAATTCTGCTTAGTGATTGCCACCCTCTCTTGTTGGCTCACTACTCAGTAGTGACTGGGGACAGGAAAGAAGGATGTGGGCTGTAGAGGGATGGTCCACAGGACACAGCTTCACAGGAAGCACCCCACCACAATACCCAAGGCTCTCAACACCATACCCAGTGCTTCCTGAATCCTGCCGGCATGGAGGTCAGACCTTTGTCTTTACATCTCACCCTCAAATTGTTTCCAGTTAGAATATACTCGAGTCCTAGGATGGTGTCATCCTTTACCAGGCTCCAGGCTTGGGGGCCAGGCTGTAGATGGACTGGCCTTTAGGACACTGTGGGGACAATGACGAGGAGAGATTCTTGAGTGTTTTTAAGCCAAGGATTTGAAGAACTGCCCAGCCTGTGAAGTTAGGTGCCTCTGAAGAGGGAACAGCTCTTGTCAGTAATAAAGATGGGCAGTTTGTTGTTCCTGCTGTCCTTCCCTCCCAGAAATGCTCCCACCGTGTCAGAACTGCATTCACTGAAGGCTGGTGAAGCCTTCTTAGCCAAGAGCAATACAGTTGAGTCAGGTCCAAACTTACCCCAGCCTTTTCCAGACCTGAACTCAGAGAGCAGGACCGGTCTCATAAACAAGTTGGTCTATACAGGCAAATCAAATCTGTGCCTTGTCACATGGTTCTTCCCAGTTCCTTTGTGAACCAAGCACTCCACTTCTGAGCAGCCTGACCTTTCAAAGTGCCTGTACACATTAGAAGTCCCGAAGTTGACAGGCTGCAGCAGAGCCTCTCCTCGGCAGCTAAAACCCCTGGATGCCTCTTCTGCTCCATGCTGACCCTTGCTGAAGGTGGTCTCCATGTGGCAGTGACCAGAAAGATCAATGCCCTCATCACCCTTGTGACTGTGGCTCTCGGACTGGCATCTGCTCGTTCAACTCCTGTTCTTCCTCAACTACCTCAGTCTCACAGTTCAGCTCAGGCACAGCACCTGCTTCCTAACCCTTCACCACCCTGTCTTTGAAACAAAGCAAACTCTTCAGTTCAAGAGCCGAAACTGCCTTCTGGACTGTCTTCCCTTCCCTAGTGTGAGCGTGAGCGCTCCAGATCGGTCCCTGTATGACGAGCCAGGGCCTAGGCTGTGCAGTGACCACCTTGGGCAAATTACTAGTTACTCCAGGAACACCAGCTTTGGAGCAGACTTAAGACCTTGGAGAATAAGAGAATAGACTGGAGGCTGCCACAGAGCTGAGAGGACCAGAATGGACGTCTCTGCTCCTGCCCCTCCCTGGGGCAGGTGACAACTCTACTGGGTGCACTTATCGCCCTGGAGAGGAAGTTTAATTTATACTTAAAACACATTTTGTACATTTCCCCTTTACCCAGAGACCTGTAGTTCACACCCTCCCGTCTGCAGTGCTACCTCTCGCCCGCTCTCCTCGGCTCACTTCTGACATCCCTCCCCTGAAATTTGGAAGAGCTTTACTTTCGCTAACTTCAATCTTTTTTCTTTTTTAAAATAAAACACAAAAGTCGGTCTTGGTGTCTTATCCATGAAAACTGGTGATCTGCCTGCTCTTGCCATCATGGTACACAGGGTCTGCTCCACACTGGATGGGGCTGCTCTGCCCAGAAAACAAGTCAACTTGGGAGTCAGACCCACCCCACACTCACTCTGACTTAGGGAATCTTGCTTCAGGAGTGAAACACGAGTCAAGTTCTTGAGTCTCTATCAAATGTGGTTTTATTCAATGACAAGCACTTTTCTACAGCCGCACCTGTGGAACATCACATGGCAAAAACGAGGTTTTTTTTTTTTTTCTCTACACTTTTTCCTTTTTTAAACCTTATTAAAAATGAGATTGGTCCTAAAAATATAGAAAGAAATAAATTTAAATTCACAAAAAACTGTACATTATCAAAAAGTCACTAAAACACCACATTTGGTTATATAAAAAGTCAGTCCCTTTTGTTGTAAAAGGAACATGGAAACTTGGTGTTGATGGTTTCTTGTTGTTACCAGATAGGGGAGGGGACACAAAGGGCAGGGTTTTTTTTTTTTTTATTTTTAACCTGCTTTCCCTACCAAATACTCTGTCAATAGAGAAAATCCACCGAGCTCCAGGGACAGTGGAGACGAGGAAAGGAGAGGGAGGAATGGCCCCTTTGATCATGCCCTACCCCATTTCTTCAGATCAAGTCTAGGACCTCCACCCCGCCTGAGTGCCTGGTCCCGAGGAAAGAGCTGGAACTGGAGAGGAGCACAGAGCGGACAACGAAGGCCACACTCTCCCTTCCACCTCCAATAATGAATGACTCCAGTATATTTTATGCCAAGGGAAACTTGCTATGGGGGGAGTTATCCCCAATTATAACAGTTCCAAACATCTGACACAAAGTTTGTTACGGCGCAGTTATTTAGATAAAATATAAATATTTATGCATAATATAAAGTCAATTCAAATATTCTTCAATCCACCTCTTATTTAAAAGCAAAAAAAAAATCTCAAATAAAGTTAAGTTTTGAGGTTTTTCGACAGAAAAGGCGACTTTAGAAATAGGCAATAGGGAGTGGAATGAGGACGGGGTGAAAAGGAGTAAGGGCTGCCCAGGAACCTGCACTGCCCCACCCCCAGTACTGCTGGAGTACAAGAAACACTCCACCTCACCTGGCACCCCCGCCCCCACCAATGGAACATTGCTTGGATGCCTCAGCTCTCTGCTTAGGCCAGCCAGCAGCCACCTCCCCAGTGCAAGTACCCGTAATTTCTGATGGGAGGGGCTCTGCTGAGCAGGAAAGCAGGGGGCCAGAGGCCCATGGCTATAGCTCGGAGTTAGCAGCTTTCCTCTCAAGTGTTGGGGGCTTAACCTGGGCTTAGTCATACACAGGGCAGTGGCAGAACCAGAATCTCTCCTCTCTACCCATCCTGTGCTCCAGGAGCCGCTGCTGGGGATATGAAGTAGATGCAAGGAAGGAAAACACAACTAAACCCAGATACTCATGGTTTAGGAAAGATCCAGTTCTACCCCTCTCCCAGAAACTCACAAGACTCAAAGCTACTGAGAGGAGAGGGAGTTCTTGCTAAAGATTGCACAGTTTGAAGAGGCTGGAACAGAAATAACCAGAGGACAGCCTTGTCCCCAGAAAAATAGTTCCTGTGTTTTCCCAAAGACAAAAAGTGATGGTATGGAACGGCAAAGGTGGGAAAATAAAACATAGTCAAGGAAACACAAATGGGTCCCATTACACAAAACAGGATCACAATCACAGCTCTCATCTGTGTGCAAGGGCAGGCGCGCGTGCGCACGCGCGCGCGCGCACACACACACACACACACACACACACACACACACACCTCTCCCCCTCTCTCTGAGGGCCTCCATCTCGGAGCAGCACTCAGACTCAGCAGTAGTTGTCCCTGAGGAGTTCCCAAGAGGGAGGTTTGGGAAGCGGGGAAGGAGGCTGGAAGGCCCAGGGCACCCACCTGCCCTCTCCCCAGTCACAGAGTTTCAGAAAAGACTAGAAACTCAGCGTGTGAGGAGGATCCAACATTTTAGAGGTTACTTACTGGCAGGAAGATGAGCACAGAGACAGGGAGCTCTGAACTTTTGTTTTCTGTGTAAGGGGAAAGGGGAAAGAAGAACCCGTACACGATAGTTTTACATTATTGGGTGGGACAAAAATTGTAAAAATAAGGAGAAGGGAAAGAAAAGAAAACGTGAGAGAGAGCAAGAAGCAGGGAAGGGACTGAACATGGAAGCAGCATGTTCAGGGCCCGGTGTCCGGCTCGACACACTTGGGAGTTAAGTCCACTTTACTGGCCGTCACTGCGGGTCCGCACACAGTACAGAGTGTTTCTCGGTTTCACACATTCACTAGAACTATTGCTATTGTTAAATAGCCCCAGGATGCTGGGGCATGTACAGGGAGGGGAGGAAGCCGGGAAGAGGAAGGGACTTCTTTACCCCTCTCCATTTTAATCAAGGAAAAAAAACAGGAAAATTCTTTTGCTTTTTTGGCTTTCTGTCCAAAAGGACCTCATCTCTACATCTCTTATTTGAGGAGCAATAGGAGGAAGGGATAAAAGGAGATTAGGGACAAGAGGATGTGGTGCTGCCAAGGGCAGAGGCAAACATCAGCACTGTTTGATGAGTCCACCCAGGGCAGCCGTCAGCAGGTGAGAATGGCAGGTTCTTGTTAGGAAGGTTGGAAAACACACCACAAGGTGGCCCCCACCTTCCTTGCCTCACAGATTGGCCTGTTTTCCCTGATAAAATTCCTCCCAGCGGCTCTCGAAGAAGCGGCGCATGATGTGCCCAGCCTTGCCCACTTCAGAGTCATCCTCGTTGAAGGTCTGGCAGTTGTCAAAAACCAGAAGGGCATCAGCTGCAAACTCCTCTGAACTAGTATACCTGGGCCAACGGGAAAATGGGGTTGTGAACTATTAAGATCTGAGAAAAAGAGAACAAGAAAAAAAGAGAGCGCACGCGCACACAATATCTTCTTACCCTCCTCGGAGCAGCCGTTCTCGCATAGTGGAAAAATCCATAGGGTTCTTGATGATGCGCCGGTACCCACTCACCAACCGAGGGTTCACAGGCTCCAGGAAAGGCCAGGCTGCGTCATGGGACTCCATCTCCATCAGGATGATCCTGTTAGTATAAGAAGCACACTCTGACTCCTCCCAGCCCTTCTGGAACACACAGAGCCAGCTATCCCTATAATGCATCAACTCACTCGCAAAATGTGAGATCACTGTGGTGGCTTCTCATCGAAAGCCTCCGTCTCTTGGAGGGAGACAGTCCATCTTCTGGGCACCGAGACATTGCTGGGCTTTCTCGGCTTCTTGATAGCATTCGGCGTCGGCGACTGTCACCCTCCGGTAAGTTCAGTGGGAAACTACTTTTCCGCTTCTGGCCTCGTTTTGGAAAACCAGGCCTCTGAGAGAATTCTTCCTGTACCTGCTGAGGATAGGCGTATACAGTAAGAACAGCAGTGTGCTGTTCCTCAGAATCCTGCCGAGTGACTGTGGCTTCAGATGCTCACACATCAGCCAGCCAGCCTGTGAACTCATTCAGGTAATCAATGGGAGGGGCAGTAAATAGAATGGTTATTACTATTTTATGGAGGAAATGACTGAGGCTAAAGAATATAAGTGATTTCTTCAAAGAAGGAAGGACACAACCCAAACACTGTTGTCAGAGGCCCATTCTAGGGTAGCCTGAGGATAGGGGATTATCTGTGGGACTAGCGGTTAAAAAAAAAAAAAAAAGTGCTGGATGTTGGTGGTGCACACCTTTAATCCCAGCACTCAGGAGGCAGAGGCAGGCGGATCTCTGTGAGTTCGAGGCCAGCCTGGTCTACAAGAGCTAGTTCAAAGACACGCTCTAAAGCTACAGAGAAACTCTGTCTTGAAAAACCAAAAAGCTGAAAAAAAAAATTTCTGACTCTGACTCTTGCTTAAGAATGGAATCAAACAGTTGAACCTTACCTGTGCCAAACAGACAGTACAGAACCAGTCTCCTTCTGGGACAGCCTCCATCTTGGGCCGATGACAATAAATGTGGCAGCCACGGTCACATCCATCACAAAGCAGGAGGAACTCATCATTGTCACCCTTCCGGCAGACTAGGCAGGTCTAGACCAAAGTTGTAAGGAAGCAGAGTGAATCCCTAACCCTCTGCCCCTTGCCGACCCCACTCTTACCAAGCTGTCTCTAGTGTTCTCCAGGCATCTTCAGACTCTTACCACTTTGTTGACAGATTTCTCCCATGCAATGGAGCGTTCCAGCTGGCCCATGCACAAGCACACCTGGGCTGCACTACGGCATCTCTCAAGTGTCTGCCGCCAGACACGAACACGAGGGGTAATCTCATATGATCTGGATGGGGAAATCTAGGATGAGGAACAAGAAGACTTCTGCCCTCCCAGGCTAAGAGACAGGCAGCAGGAGTCACTCACATCTCAGTAGTGGTGCCATCTGGGGCGCCATTGGGTGTGCTCAGCAGGGCCTTCTCCACTACCACCTCATGGGCTGCCCAGAGGGGCTCCCGCAAATAACGCCGCTCTACATTCTGTTCCAGAGCAGCCAGCCGCATCACAGCAAGGTCCAGAGGGTTGGTGTTTTGCCGCTGAGGTACTGCCCCTTCCCTGCCCCGTCCTCTCCAGGGGATGTCCTCCTGACAGTCAGGGAGATGCTCACAATAGGCCAAGTCTTCTCGGATAGAATCTGGGCTAGGGCATGTCCAGCCCTTCCAGTGGGAAAGAGGAATAAAACACATTGTAAAAGGAAACACTTCATATCATGTCATCCAAGGGCTCTTCCTGACACCCTCCCCGCAGCTAGATGTAGTGGCTCATGTTGGCAATCCCAGCACCTGGACGGCCAAGGCAGAAGAATGCCTTGAATCCCAGGCCAGTCTAACTATAGAGACCTTGTTTCAAAAACCAGAACCTAGGGCTAGAGAGAGGGCACAGCAGTTAGGAGTACAGGCTGCTCTTCCAGGGTACCCAGGTTCAATTCCCAGCACCCACACTACACGGGGCTCAGAACTATCTGTAAGGCCCAGCTCCAGAGGCTATTGATACTTCTGGTCTGAGGGCACCACACACGCATTATACAGACATACATGCAAGCAAAACATCCATAACACAAAAATCAAAACAGAAAGTTAAACAAACAAAAACAAAACCCTCCCCTAAACAGCTCCCTACCCAGTGCCAACCCCAGTGTACCCGAATCTGCAGATCAGACAGGACAACACGCTGCTCTAGCTCCTCTACCCACTGAAGCACAGTCAGGTCTGTCTCATAAGTCTTCTCTTTGGCGGACCAGCTCATAATTCCTTCTTCCAAGGCAGGCAGCTGACAAGGTTCAAAGATGGGATCTGGGAAGAGAGAGAGAAAGCAGAGGAGTGGGCTGTCAAGCTCCTGTGCACAGCAGCTACTCCAGCTCAGGCTAGGTCAAGGCTTCGTATTTACCAGTTAAGGGCTGTAAGCAAACTTCCTGCAAGAAGTCCTTGTGCTTGCTAAGATGTTTGTGTAGCGCCTTCTCCCTGATGCCTCGGGGATGTAGTGCCTTCAGCATGATGTCCAGTGTCTCAGGATCTCGGATCCACCACCAGCCAGAGCACATCTCTGTGTACAGAGGGTTGTGTATATGGGCAGGGGGTGGAAACCACATGAGTTGCACTGCCCACAATGGAAACTGCTATCACCTTCCATGTTTACCCCATCCTAGCCAAGCTTGCTCACCAGGGGGGATAGGCTGGGCTGTCAGCTGGCTTAAGTAACGCTGCTCCACTTGCTTGAAGAACTTGCTAGGAGGTCTCCCTCTTCGTTTTGGTTGTCCCAGCCCTGTGGGACTCTGTGGAATTTCTTCAGAGTCTCCTGATGGCCTCTTAGAGCCCCTTCCAGGCAAGTGGGTGGAAGAGAACTGCCCTGGAGAACAAGGATTGGCAGCACCGGAAGTAATCATCTGTAAATAAGAAAACATGAAGGAGGGGGCTGAGAGATGGCTCAGAGGATAAGAGCACTGCCTGCTCTTCCAAAGGTCCTGAGTTCAATTCCCAGCAACCACATGATGGCTCACAACCATCTGTAATGAGATCTGGTGCCCTCTTCTGGCCTGCAGGAATACACGCAGACAGAATACTCTATACTTAATAAATAAATATTTAAAAAAAGAAAAAGAAAGAAAACATGAAGGAATGAAGATACTTTATGTCTACAGGTTTCCTAGCTTCAGGTTGTAGTCTCACAGCCAGACATGGGAGTTCTGGGTGAGATAACACAGATTGCTCTGGCTACTTACTGGCTTAGAGGCGGCAGGCAGATGGAGGGAGGGAGTAGGCTGGTCCTCAGAAAGTGCAGGGGGTGGTGTAGGGGCAGCATCACAGGGTATCTGGGCTGAGAAGTTAAACCAGGGTCCTTGAGGAGCTGGGCAGGATTCTGCCTCCTCAGGGTCAGGTTCTTCCAAGGACTGGGATGGACCTGGGTCTAATTTCCCTGGGCTGCTATCAGGCGTGAGGACTGAGCTGCTCAATAGGGAACTGTGGCTCTGAGTCTGGCTCAGCCAAGACAGGAAGGCAGACTGGCTAAGGTCATGCTGGCTCTGACCCAGAGACAGAGGGGAGCCTTCTGGCTCTAGGAACCCATTATTTGGTGGGGGCTGGGACTGAGGATGGGGCTGAGATTCTGGCTGAACTTGAGTCTGGGATTGTTCTGAATCATGTTCTCCAATAGCGGACTTAGGGTGCCTAGGCTGCATAGACCCCGGCTTAGACTTTCGAGGTCGGCCTCGGGCACGGGCAGGAGAAGCAGAGGGGTTGGAGCCAGTTAACTCTCTCTTTACAGAGACTGGGGCAGAACAGGGTGGCGAAGTGACTGCTTCCGTCAAGTACTCAGCTTCCTGCTTTATTCCATCTTCAGTAACTGTAATGAGAAAAAAAGTTTTAAAAAGACGCACAGCTGTATAATGTGTACCTACACACACACACACACACACACACACACACACACACACACACACACGTATACTGGAAAAGAATGAGACTCTAAACACAGAACATACTTGCTTTTTAAAATCTATTTAAGATTCTACTGGCTAACAGCTTATGTTAAGGAACAAAGTACCTGAGGAAAAAAATCTTGTTTTTTTTTTTTAAATTCATACTTTTTAAATATTTATTTATTATGTAAACAATATTCTGCGTGTATGCCTGAAGGCCAGAAGAGGGCACCAGTCCTCATTACAGATGGTTGTGAGCCATCATATGGTTGCTGGGAATTGAACTCAGGACCTTTGGAAGAGCAGGCAGTGCTCTTAACCGCTGAGCCATCTCTCCAGCCCCCTGCTGTTAATTTCTTTATCCAACTTATGTATTAAACTTTGTGTAGGTATATATGGGAGAAAATATAATAGATACAAGAGCAGATGTTACATGCTGTTTTAGGCCCTATCCATGGTCTCGAGTATCAATGCTCTTAACCGCTGAACCATCTCTCCAGCCCCAGAAATCTTGTTTTTAAGACAGAATCTATGTAGCCCTTGCAGGCCTTAAACTCAGTGCATAGACTACACTGGCCTTGACTCAAGAGACTGACTGGCCCTTGCCTCCCAGTAAGAATTTCTTTATTCTTTTCTTTTTTTTCTTTTTTTTTTTTTCTTTTCTTTTTGGTTATTCAAGACAGGGTTTCTCTGTGTAAAAGCCCTGGCTGTCCTAGAACTTAACTCTGTAGACCAGGCTGGCCTCGAACTCACAGAGATCCACCTGCCTCCTGAGTGCTGGGATTAAAGGAGTGCACCACCACACTTGGCTTACACATTTTAATTCTTAGTAGTCACTGAAAAACTTTAATTATGTATATGTATGTATTCCTTGAAGTTACATGTAGGTTGTGAATCGTGTGACATGGGTTTAGGCACTGCAACTCAGGTCCTCTGCAAGAACAGTGCATGCTCTTAACCACTGTGCCCCGTCTTCAGCTCTACTTCTCGGTTGTCTTATGAAGTACACAGTTTACAAATTAAGAAACTGAAGCATACATCTGACAAGCAGTTTTACTCTAGAGCCCGTGCTCTTAATAAACTCCACTGTATCAGAAAACTAAAGCTCAGGAGTACTGGGCAGAAGAAAACAAAAGCATTTACTTTTTTTTTTTTTACTGGAACTCAGAATTCAAGTGTCCACAGATACACCTACCCATGTTCTCCTCTGATCCTTCTACAAAGATACCAGCCAGACAGGGCAATACCCAGTAGTGGCGTCTGTAGCGGTCCTGACCCAAAGAGACTGCTCGAAGCATCTGGGATGAGTGAAGCAGCTTTTTTCTAAAGAAGAGCTGACGCTGGGTAGGAAATTAGAAAAAGAAGATGAATAAAAACATTTCCAGAATGGCATGGAAGATTTTAATATACGGGAGAGAACTGAGGCTTATCAACTTCCCTATATAATAAATTCTAAACAAGGGAACAGTTCTTGCCCAACTCATATTTCCAACTTTTGGGAGATTAAAAACACAATACCTTACTGAGTTTTTCTATCTGGCGCTCTAACTCTGGAATGCTGGATGCCGCAATGTCAATCTGGGCAGAAGCAAACAGACATTGAGAGTAGGGAGGTTACCAGATCTACGAAGGAATGCTTTCTAACCCCACCTTCCTTTTGTTGGGTCAGTACCTCTCCATCTCTTCGAGCTCTGCGGCCATGGACTATAGTTTCCTCCTCTTCCTCCTCTTCTATGCCACTGGTTTCTTCCATGATCCGAGAACTGCGCCTTCGTCCCAGGCCTTCTTCTGGCCATTCCATCATAACCTCAGGCCGCCCAGTTCGTTTGGCCAGAGCAGTTTTCAGTCTTGAAATACAGAGATTAGGGGAGAAAGACTATGGTGAAGAACATAATGCCAAAAAAGAAAGATGTTAACTGTACATTTTTTAGAACCCTGGCAAGGTGCCAACCAAAGAAGGGCATCACATCCAGACAACATCCTGGCTCTGTCTCATTCTCTCTCCGGGCTCCACTCTGTCCTGTCCCTACCTCCGGAGTCGGCCTTCAACAATCCATTTGTTTTTCCTGTAGCTAGACATATTCTCCAGCGTCTTGTCAATCTCACTGCAGAGCAACAGCAGATGATTTTTGAGGGAGACGTGGCAGCAGAAAGAAAAGAAAGATAAAGCATTACAACAGGGACTTCTGTCTGTACACAGACTGCAGGAATGACAATGGAAGCCTTACATTCTCCCAGGAAAGAGAGGGTCTGAGATTCTATCTCAAGTCACCCCAGCATCCTCAGAGAGGAGCAATGGACACATTACCCTGGAACTTGGGCAGCGCTGAGCCCCTCCCCCACCCACTCCTACACAAGCTACAGGATTAACTACTACCCCCCAAGCTCCTCACTTGATGATGATGGTGGAGCCATTGAGCTCATGTACAAGAAAGGCTAGGACAGCAGCCTTCTGTTGGGGTGGCTGGGCCTGAAAAGGCTGGGTGCGCAGACTGTCACAGAAGGCTGGCTCCACTCTATATGCCATGAGGAAGCAGCGGAGTATCTCAGACACATTGTCTCTGGTCAGTGGAATCTCGGACACCTTCTCCCCCAGGATCTTTAGGGACTATTTGAAAGAAAGCATAATGGGAATGAGAAGGGCAACAGGACAACTCAAGCTGGGTGAACCTGGGAGAGAACTACAAGGTTAAGATAAAACTCTAAGAGAAAAAAATGAACGAGGTCAACTTGCCGCTAAATCCGAAAAACTGAGTTCAATTCCTAGCATGCACGTGGTGGAAGGAGAACTGACTCCCCGTAAGTTGTCCTCTGACCACAGACATGCACACGTGCACATACACACCCTAAATGCAAATTTAAATAATTTACAGTTGGAGAGATGGCTATTGCTCTTGAAAGGACACAGGGTTCACAACCATCCACAATCCAATTACATGGGACGCAACCCTATCTTCAGGTCTCTGGGGGCACCAGGCACACTTGATACACATACATATATGCATGCAGTCAAACATTTATTCACATAAAATAAAAATAAATCTTAAAAAAAAATGTAATCCTGCTTGCTATGCAGAGCAGACTCAATGAGGCCTGTCTGCCTCTCCCTACCAGGTGCTAAGGCTAAAGGTGTACGTCATACACACAGCTAAAAGAAATTTTTGTGGAAAAAAAGAGAAAAACAATGAAAACTGCCAGGACATGGGGCTGCAGAGATGGCCCATCAGTTAAGAGAACTGGCTGCTTTTCCAGAGAACCCGGGTTCAGTTCCCAGAGCTCACATGGTGGCTCACAACAGTAGCTCCAGTTATAAGAGACAACACCCTCTTCTGGTCCTTGTGTGAACCAGACACACATGTGGACACCAGGTACACAGAAAGGCAGGCAAAACACCCCTATCCACGGAAAATAAAATAAGGACAATTATGGAAAATAGTTACTAGAAAAAGATGAAAGACTACAACAGAAAACCTCAAAGAAAGACAGAGAAAAGAACAGATGAAGCACAAACAACCAGAAACAGGAAGAAGCCACATCCCCATTGGTCTGGGCTGGGGGAGGGGCGACTGTTCAATGTTCTCAGAGAGAAAGCCAAGCTCACCTGACAGTGGGAGGGCAGACCAGGGTCGTGGAGTGCAGCCTTCAGCAGCCGCACCAGAAGGTCTTGCACTTTACCCAGGCTGTCCCCTTGACACAAGAGACCTTCCTGCAGGACTCCCAGACTAGGGACATCTTTGGTAAGGTCAAAGCCTAACACTTTGCCAAAACTGTGCAGGAACTCCATGATGGTCAAGCAGTCTGAGAAAGCCCTACTGGACAATGTCAAACCAGGGATGCGCGTGAAGTCAGGCAGGGGCTGGAGAAAGAAGTGAGTGAGAGAGCATTCTGTTAGATTACCAACAGGCACTCATCTGGCTACTCAGAGCTCCTTCTGTTAATACAACTGTCCTCAGAACTGGCCCATCCATGACCCCTAATACCTGATGATCAGCCAGACACATATCCTCCGTGGGCTTCTTCATCTCCTCCAAGATAACCTGTTGCCTCTGCCGTTCCTCCAGACGCCTCTGTGTGGCAAGAGTCTTCTCTGCTTTACAGACTGGTTTGGCTTTGGCCACCTCTTCCTTTACCTTCACTTTCACCTTTTCTTTCTTTTCCCTCTTTACTTTGTCCTTCAGTCTTTCCTGCTTTGTCTTCATCTTTTCTTTCTCAGCCTACCCACCCAGGAGAGAGGAATAAGAGTCATAGATACCTGTCTCACCAGGCCTGGTATTATTAGTCCCTCCCAACCAAGAGTCCAAACAAAATACATCTATGACACTGTTTGGAAAATCTCTGTGGTGGCTTCAAAATCAGACTTGAGATAGGAATTTAGCTCTGTGGTAGTATATCTGTCTAGCATCTACAATGCACCCTAAAAAAAGAAATTAACCTTGGGACATATATTCATATGTACCTTGAGTTTCTTCTTAGTTTCCTTCTGCCTTAAGTTCTTGGTATCTTGTTTCCTCTTGTTTCTGGCCTGTAAACCATAAGGGAAGTCATTTCTCCTCAAACTCTGAAAGCACCTCTGCTTGGGCTAGGATTCAAAAACAGAAAAGGGTGCTGGGGAGGAGAGGTGAGAGATGGGATGATGAGGGATTGGCAATGGATCAATTCTCTCACTCTAGAGATACCCTATTTTTCTTGAACAAGCCCACTTTTCTAAATCAAGCCCAAGAAATTTCATTTAATGAACGTGTGCTGATGGTGGGAAATGGGGATGGAAGAAAATATGAAGCTGGTTATAGAAAGCCACTGTTGCCCCTCCTCACCTGCCCTTGGACAGCAGTCTGACTCTCTCCCCGCTGTACCTTCTGCCTCATCTTCTTTTTGCTTTTACTCATCTTTGCTTTATCCTCCTCATTCAGTGGTTCTATGAAGGCAGGAAGAAAACAGGAAAGAGGTGAGGTAGAAAAACATGCTTGGCATCTATGGCAGCACATGCCTATTACAAAGCTGGCTTCTCATGCAGCTTCATGAACAAGTTTTATTTTGTTTTGCTTTTGGCTTGTTTTCTGAATAGACATAATAAAACATTCTAGAGATAGAGGTCAGAGAGGCACCTGCTCAGGTAGTTGTACAAAGCGCTCAAACAGCATCAGCAGCCCAGAAGCCACAGGCTGACTCCAACTGAACTGCTTTGGAAGTGGTCCAACTGATGGAAGAGGCTACAACTGCAGAGTGCCTTTATGATCTGTCTCTTTCCCAGGCTATGGAGCAAGGGTAGCAACGCTCAGACTGATGTACACGGTCTGATTTTAGTGAAAGAGAGCTGAGAAAGGAAACAGGAATCTAAACTGTCAGGAAAGACGGTATTGATTTGTAACACTGCCAACCAAGTGTGTACAAGAAAGAGAAGGATAACAACTCAACACTGTCAAAGCCAGTGCTCACGTTCAGCTTCCACAGCTCATTCCACTGAAAGATCCAAATCAAAGTAGAAATCTGCTAGTACCTCATTTTTAATTGATATTTTGACATAATAGTACCTATTCTTTCCATTGTGGTACAGAAACATTTTTATAGCAACCTTCTACAGTATCATGGGCAAGTAAGTCACTTAAAGCTTTTATTAAAGTGAGATATGGGGCTGGAGAGATGCTCAGTGGTTAGGAGTTCTCACTGCTTTTGCAGAGGACCTGTGTTCAGTTCCCAGCACTCATGACAGCTTACAACGATCTACAATTCTATTTCTAGGGGATCCAACACCTTCTTATGACCGTCACAGGCACCAGGCACACAAGTAATGCCTATGTGTAAAACATGGGAAATACCCTGAGTTTGGGGTTTTAACTCTGGTAAAGTACTTGCTAGGCAAGAGCAAAAATTGGGAAAAAGATATAGACAATAGCAGAGCTGGAACTCTGAATGGAATTAACGAGACTATTTCATCTTCTGCACACTGTACATGCAATGCTACTTAGAAAATTAGACATTTTGGGGGCTGGAGAGATGGCTCAGTGGTTAAGAGCACTGGCTGCTCTTCAGAGGTCCTGAGTTCGATTCCCAGCAACCACATGGTGGCTGACAACCATCTATAATGAGATCTGGCACCCTCCTCTGGCCTGCAGGCATACATGGAGGCAGAATGTTGTACACATAATAAATAAATAAATCTTTAAAAAAAAATCCCCTTTTCTGTTTTTAAATGCTAGTTATTTTCTTCCACAGGATCAAGTATGACTTTGAGTGGAAAAATAGTGGACAGAAACCAGGCATTGGCAGTTTTTCCATTTTCATTTGTATATGACTCTCACATGTAAGATGTAAAGCACTACTAACACAGGTCAAAATGTTTCGGTGAACATGTTTCAACAATTCAACCTTACGACAATTATAACAAACCTGTTAAAATTTTCTGAGGAAAAAAGGAGCAAGAAATTAAAAGCGTAAAAATTAAAATAAGCATTGAGACCTGTTAATCCTAACTGGGTGGTTAAGGCAAGAGGACCATGAGTTGCAGGTCAGCCTGGACTACAGACGTGAGTTCCAGGACAGCCAAGAAGGTAGGAAGGAAAAACAGGCATGCTATCTCCAAGAGTCTCAAAACCACGGCTCTAGTCTAAATTCTTCCCTCTCCACTATTTTATGCTGGCCTAACCAAGAATCATTAAAATAGAAACAGGATATGGAGAGGAAGAGAATAAAAGCAGAATAAGCAAATGTTTGTTTTGTTTTCCAAGACAGGGTTTCTCCGTGTAGCCCTGGCTGTCCTGTAACTAGCCCTGTAGACCAGGCTGACCTCAAACTCAGAGATCCGCTGGTCTCTGCCTCCTAAGAACTAGGATTAAAGGCGTGCGCCACCACTGCCTGGCTAAGCAATTATTTTTGCTCACTTCTTTAAAAGATGTGCTTCAGAACAGCCACAGAAAGATGAAAGTCTAGCAAATCTATGTACCTAGGAAGACCAAATTTACTCACATCAACAATTTCTTCTAACATAGCTTCACAACTTTAAAGATTAAACTATATAAAAATAACTGTGAGACAAACATTAGCCTGTTCCTTCCTATTATATTTCTAACACTTCTGTAAGCCAAAGAAAATAAGATAATAAAATCATTTTTAAGAGCATCGATAAAAACATAATAGTAATCCCCTCAATTTTATTCTGATGAGCTTTCTTAGTAGTTACCTTGTATCCCTATTTACATGATAAGCACAGAAGAGAAAAAAAAAAACTTCAAGTATATAGTACATGTATTTCTCTAATAAAGCTAACTCTAAGAAGCTGAACTGGCTACACTTTAAGCCGCTACACAAATGGAATTCACTAAAGAGACTTTCCATCACATATATGCATTCTCCAGTACCATGCTCAAACTGTCTGTAAGTCTATTTCTTAAAAGAATAAAAATAGTAAAGTTTTAGGTGTCGCAGGGTGATATTACAGGGTAACTGCCAGCATGAGTATGTTTATTCTATGTTTGTCCTTCAGTAAGGAACCGCCCTTAAAGTACACAATCTTTTCCTGTTCTTTCTCTCCAACCACAGTAACCCTTTGTATCCCTCCCTTCACTAGCAACGTTCTGCCAAAGACTACAGGAAGTACATTAATACACAGAGCTTGCCTGCAGGAATTTCAGCTTGAATAATACAAATGAATTTACAAACTAAATTCAGTTTAGTTTGTAAATTCAGTGGTTAGTTATCGTCAAGCCAGACTTGATTTTACCCTAAGATTTAGTGCTACTTGATGATCTTTTGGGGCTACTATTTTCAGAGATCAAACTGTTATATCTCTATAAACAGACATTCGAGTCATCTGCTATTTCTGGAGACTTACAAAGTGAACTTCATAAACCACGCTTAAAAAGTAAAACATTAATACTTCTGTAGGAAATCGAAACTGCCATGCAACCTAAAAGGCTTCACCACTCAAATTCCATCAAGTGTAATGAGAATCTGCAACATTTCTCTTTTCCTCCTAACACTCCCCTAAAGGTGTGTTACAGATATTGTATATGCTTGAGGAAACATTTTTCAAATTGCTGTCAAAAGATCTATCCCAAGTTCAAACGAACTCCACACACACACTGATGTCAAATGATCTATCTCAAGTTCAAATGACTACACAGAGAGAGAGAGATTGGAAAGTTTCTCACTCTGTAGCACAAACTCTCCTGAAACTCATCGAAAGCTTCCAAACATACTGAGATCAGAACATGAGCATACCTGGCTGCTGCTGCTGTTTCTTAAAAGACTGACAGTTTGCATTTCATTTGAAAGTTTGAGGCAAAAATAAATTAGGTTTCACAAAAGATTGATCAAACAGCAGTGAAGCCCAAAGACCCTGCCTCTTCTCTCCCACAGGGCAGAACTTGACTTTATAAAAATAATTTTCCATTAGAATGATTCTTCTATATGCTCTCTGAATCTCACGAATGCTCAAATCTTTCTGGCTACTTAATCTTTGGTCCTGAGAATGCCAGTATCACCAGTAATAATTCACTAAGAGTCACTGAAGAATGACCATTTAACCATAAAGCCATTTCATGGCTTGGAATAGTGGACTGGTGAACGACAAACATTCACAGAAAGAATGCAAATGCAAGGACTATGCCCACACCACTCCTTCTGCAAGCACTGCTATATTCATAGTATTTAGAAGAGTATTTGGTAACTATTTTCTTAATAAATGAAAACAGATTTAAAATAAACATGTAATTTTAAAATAGTGTATCATTAGGCCGAGAATGTAGCAAAGTGATGGAACACTTGTCTAGCAGGTATGAGGCCCCAGTTCAATTCCCAGAACCACAACATAAATACAATGAAACAGGATAACAATAAACAATGAAATGGCACGTGTCTTTAATCCCAGCACTTGGGAGGCAGAGGCAGGAGGATCTCCATATAGAAGCCAGCCTCCTCCAGATGTCAAAGTCAAGGCCCTTCAGAAATGAACAGGGAGATCTGTCTCATTCATACACACACACACACACAAACATAAACATATATTTAGATATGAACTAAAATTGATAAATTAGGAAAGAGAAACAAATGATAAATATGTATGAAAATGAAACACTTTACTCTGCATGCTAAACTAAAAAAATTAAATAATTTCTTAAAAAAACAAGTAAAGTAATAAAAAAAATAAAAAGTTCAAGCATTTAAATTAGAATTCCTCTTTTTTTCCTTTCTCCTTCAGTGCTAGAGATCAAACTCAAAGCCTTGCACATTATGGGCAGTACTCTGAGCTCCATCACCAACCTCCATTTCTTTCAGTAAAATAAAACGACCTTGCTGGGGGCTGGAGAGATGGCTCAGAGGTTAAGAGCATTGTCTGCTCTTCCAGAGGTTCTGAGTTCAATTCCCAGCAACCACATGATGGCTCACAACCATCTGTAATGGGGTCTGGTGCCCTCTCCTGGCCTGCAGGCATACACACAGACAGAATATTGTATACCTAATAAATAAATAAATTTTTTTCACTTTTTTTTTATTAACGATTTCTGTCTCTTCCCCACCGCCGCCTCCCCTTTCCTTCCCCCTCCTCCAATCAAGTCCCCCTCCCTCGTCTGCCCCAAGAGCAATCAGGGTTCCCTGCCCCGTGGGAAGTCCAAGGACCACCCACCTCCATCCAGGTCTAGTAAGGTGAGCATCCAAGCTGCCNAGGTCCTGAGTTCAATTCCCAGCAACCACATGGTGGCTCACAACCATCTATAATGGGGTCTGGTGCCCTCTTTCGGCCTGCAGGCATACACACAGACAGAATATTGTATACATAATAAATAAATAAAATAAATATTAAAAAACAAAAAACAAAAAAAAAATCACCCAAAGAAAGAAATAAGAAAGAGGAAATTGGTCTAGAGAACAGTCCAGCAGTTAAGCACATCCACTGCTCTGCCAGAAGACTCAACATCCACACCAGTGGCTTCACAACAGCTTGCGACTCCAACTTCAGGGATTGTACACCCTCCTCACTGTCCTGTACTCTATTCCCAACTCTCCCACATCTAAGAGTCATTCCTAGGCTTGTGAAGGTCAATGCATGCGGCAATCTGGAGCACTTACCCATGTTGGAGGGGAAGACGAACTTCTTCTGGGGTAGCGATGCGTCTCTTAAGTACATCACCTTGAGGGAAGACCAGAGATGAGGGTCAAGCAAGCTTACAGAATAGAGCTGAGCTGGTTGACCCAGCACTTGGGAGGAAGAAGCATGCAGAGTTCTGTGAACTGGAGGCCAGCTTAGTCTACATAAAGACCAGCCAAAGCTACATAAGATCCTGTTGCAAACAAACTGTTTGTTTGTTTGTTTATTTGTTTTTGAAAACAGGGTTTCTCTGTAGTTTGAGCCTGTCCTGGAACTAGCTCTTGTAGATCAGGCTGGCCTTGAACTCACAGAGATCTGCCTGTCTCTGCCTCCTGAGTGCTGAAAATAAAATTACAGGTTAATAGGAAGGATAGATGCAGCATGTGACAAAACTTTTGTACAGGCCAGGCGGTGGTGGTGCCTTTAATCCCAGCACTCAGGAGGCAGAGGCAGGTGGATCTCTGTGAGTTCAAGGCCAGCCTGATCTACAAGAGCTAGTTCAGGACAGGCTCCATTGCTACAGAGAAACCCTGTCTCAGAAAGAAAAAAAAAATTGTAGAAATCATGCAGGGACAAAACAGAATCTGGACACTTACCACTACCAGAAACTGTGACAGCTTCTCCAGTGGTCTCTTCTAAACCAGCAGAAGCTTCTGGAATGCTGGTGCTGTCTTCACTTGCTTGGGAAACTGTCTGGAAGGCGGGTGCTGGAGAAGGAGCACGGCAAGCTTGAGGAGAGGTCACTGGAGCTGTCAAAGAGGCTGCTGGGAGAGCAGGGGAAGGAGCTGGAGACACTGCTGGGAAGATCGTAGGAGGGACAAGGGAGGAGGCTGCCGGAGAGGCTGCTGGAGATGCTGTCAAGGAGGCTGCTGGGGAGGCTGCTGGATGTAGCTCAACAGTAGGTGGCTGGTCAGGGGCTGGCTCAGTCAGGGGATGTGGGAAGTCTGAAGACTCAGGCCCCATTTCTTCCTGTTCAGAGTCACTGCCATTATTCAGGTCAAAGCTGTTATCTAAAATCCAAAGCATATCAGTAAAAGAAAATGGTAGAAGAGTTTATTCAATCAAACCTACACTATGGTAAACACAGTTATCTTAAAGGCTTTTAGTGAAAAAAGAACAGTAGCTCTAGGGACTGGAGCTGTGGCTCACTGGCTGCCCTTTCAGAGGGCCACTGTTTGATTTCTAGCACCCACATGGTGTTGCCCTTCTGTACCGCCAATCCCAAGAGGTTTGAAACCCTCTTCTGGCCTCCAAGAGCACTACACAAAACAGTGCATAGCTATACATACAGGAACACTCATACACATAAAATTAAATTTAAAAAAGCAGTGCTAGCTGGGCAGTGGTGGCAGATGCCTTTAATCCCAGCACTCAGGAGGCAGAGGCAGGGATCTCTGTGAGTTCAAGGCCAGCCTGGTCTACAAGAGCTAGTTCCAAGACAGGCTCTAAAGCTACAGCGAAACCCTGTCTCAAAAAAACACACACACACACACACACAAAAAAAAAAAAAAAAAAAAAAAAAAAAACAGTGCTGGCTCTTTCCCTACCCCAAACATCTTTGAAGTTAAAAGGTAAAACTGGTGATGGTCATGTTCACCAATGAAGAGAGAAACAGTTTCTCCTCAAGATAGAAAGGCCTCTGGCCATCTTTTCTTTGACAACTCCCAAGTCCCTCATGTTTCCACAGAGGGCAGAGGTCAAAGTACAATGGATGCTTTTTTATTCCCACTAGACAGCATCTCATAGTCTGTCAGCACGACAGCGGTACACACTTCCCATGTTAAGGGCTTAGCTATGGAACACATGCACTGTTTTGCAAGGGAAGACTTTATTTCTCCTACCTCTCCTCACTCACCTTGCAGAACAGACTCCCCTAAGACAGGTGGAGAGGTGGGGCTGACAAAGAGAGAGGCTGCCGTTTGGCTGTCATCTGCGAGGAGACTGAAGGCAGCAGCGTTATTGAGAGAAGGGCAGTCGAGAGCAGAGATCACAGGGCTGTCCTCCAGAGGCAGCTTGTCTTCTGCACCCATCAATGCTGTGTCATCTATCCCATAAAGTCCTCCACTCACTGGCTCTGCATATGGGGGCGAAAAGAAATTAAGAAAAAAATTAACAAGCCAGATTTCCTTAGGAAATACTTGCCAAAGCAATATCCAACTCTTAGTTTCTGGGGAAGCAGGGAGGAAACAAGGAAGGATCTCAGTTCTAGCTCAGAGTTGACTTGAAACTTATGTACTTCGCAGGATGGCAAAGTCATGCCCTCCTACCTCAGCAACCCCATTTAGCATTAAAAGTAGGGGACAGGGGGCTGGAGAGATGGCTCAGAGGTTAAGAGCACTGACTGCTCTTCCAGAGGTCCTGAGTTCAATTCCCAGCAACCACATGGTGGCTCACAGCCATCTATAATGAGATCTGGTGCCCTCTTCTGGCATGCAAAAATACATGGAAGGAATGTTGTATACATAATAAATAAATAAATCTTTAAAAAAAAAAAAGTAGGGGACAGAAGACTCTGAAAATGAAGGCAAAGATACAGACTTTGTATCTATCCATAGATCCTTGTAGAAATCTAGCATTTATCGTAAAATTGGCCTTGTTTTTATATTTAATTGGCAAATGTTTCCTTTCTAGTTAGTTAGAACCCAAATAGCCCAACTGTGTGGCAGTTGAATTATTGCAGCCAAGGGCTCTTGGCCAACTGGAAGACAGAAAGAGGCTGGGAAATGAACCAATGCATCTGAATAAAGCCAGCTCAGCCAGCAGTAAGACTATGGTTTACTGAAGTTTTATCCACAAGTCAACACCCCAGATTCCCTAAAACTTTCCTTGGGTTTCTAACTTGTCCAGGTCACGGGTTAGTCACCTTCTGCTCAGGTAAGCAGGAAAGAGACACACCCTCTAAAGCCCACCTGGTGCCAGCGAGTCAAAGGGCTCCAAAGAATCTTCACTGAGGATTGGAGTGTCTTCCAGTTGCTCAGGAAGATGCGAAGGATCATCTAAACAGCTCACAGTGGGATCAGGAACCAGGACAGAGACTTCTTGGTGTAAAGACTCCACAGAGGAGACAGAACCATTGTAGCCACACATCTTTAATTCTAGGTAATCCCAGGAGAAAGCAAAAGTCAAAATTTGTGCCTTCAATTTATTAGCTGGTTATAAAAATGTGTTCAGGTGGGGCTGGAGAGATGGCTCATCAGGTAAGAGCACTGGCTGCTCTTCTAGAGGACCCAGGTTCAATACCCATCACTTACAAGGCAGTTCACAATTGTCTGTAACTCCAGTCCCAGGGGATTTAACACCCTCACACAAACATATATGCAGGTAAAACACCAATGCACATTAAAAAAAAAAAAAACATTAAAATGCTTTAAAAAAAAGAAATGTTCAAGCAACTCTTTCAGGAAGTCCACAGGCACATGGTGTGCACTGTTCTTTCCTAGAAGCCCCTTCCCCATCACACCAGTACTAAAATCTGTGTTACAACATTCTCTTAATAAGCTCTAACTTTAGTCAACATTTATTGCTAGTTCTAAACCAGGAACGGACCTATCCAGTATCTAATGAGTAGAGACATGCTGTTAAAACCAATCTTACATCAAAGGGGAAGATGGACAGTAAGGCGGAGACAAGAACCCTACCACATATTTAGTTATTTTTTTCCAACAAGTGGAACAGAGAAAATATTCTTTGACTTTTTTATAGGGCAGTCACCCTTGCAGTGAATATCAACTACAAATACAAACTAATATTTTAATCTATTTTTAGGGAAACAAAATAGGTTGCCACACATAAATATTAACAAACAAAACGAGAAGAAAGGGAGCTGAATAGACAAGCAATGGTGCTTTCTACCTATTATGTTCTCACCTTAGTAAGTCAATCACTATGAGAGCTGAGCCACTTCAGCAGTACCTAATCCTGCCACAGTTAAAATAGCTTCATGCTTTCAGTGCTCATCACTCATCTGCTTTAGAAGCCCCTACCCCACCCTACCTCATTTCTGTGTCCCAGGCTGACCTCCTCCTGCCTCCACTCTCAAGGGCTGAGATTATAGGCATGTGCCGGTATGATGTTCGCAGGGCTGGAGGTAGGTAGAACCCATTCAACCCATTCATGCATGCTACACAAGCATACTAGCCACTGAGTGACATTCCCAGCCCAAAAAGTCATCCTTTTCTTTGTTTTAAAATTTATTTATTTTTATTTTGTATGTGCATTGGTGTTTTACTTGTATGTATATCTGTGTGAGGGCGTGTCAGGTCCCCTAGAACCAGAGCTACAGATAAATGTGAGCCACATGTGGGTGCTGGGAATTGAACCCAGGTCCTCAGAAGAGAAGTCAGTGCTCTTAACCACGGAGCTCCAGCTCCCCAAAAAGCCATTCTTGATGCAGTATGTGTTTGGGCTTCAGGCTTGCCCATCGCCCACCTGCCCTCTCTTGGGCAGCAGCTCTGCAAGAGCTTGAAATAATTCGCACTCCCACTCTTGAACTGGTGCTGCTGCCACAAAAACACCAGCCACTTGGCTCTGCTAATCACCAACATGCAAATCAGTCTTTACTGCAGAGAGCTGGAAAGACAAGTTTTCCTCACCCCAAAAGGCCACTGCCCCCCATGACCGCACTTTCTCTCTCCACACCCACCCAGCTCACAGACCCAGTTATACCTGGCTGTTCTTCCTCCAGTTCCAGGCTGCCTACCAAGCCAGTGCCATTTTCCTCCACAACTGAAGTCAGCTCCTTTTCTGCTGCCTCATCAGAATGGATCCCATTGCCTACATCCTGGGAAGGTGCAAAGGTCTGGATACTAGATCCCAACATTGGAGAAGTCTGTGGGGAGGTGAAAAAACTTGGAGGTCCATTGGGCATCACCTCAAAATTCTGGTCAGGAAAGGAATCATATAGCTCCTGTGAATCGAAGTTAAGCCCCATGGGACTCTGGGTACCATTGGCCCAGAACTCTTGGCTCCCAGCTCGAAGATTAGTGTTGTGACTTGGGGATGAAGGTTGTCGGCTGCCCCCAAGGATACCGTTGAGTGGGTATTGTCCCCCAGGGAACTGAGAAAGAAGGGGTGGGTCCTTGAGGTTGTTGCTGGGATTGGCAGGTGGGTACTGTGAGTAGTTCCAAAGACAGTCGTAGGCCACGTTAGGGTGCTGGAGGTGTGAGGTGCTGGAGGAGTGGGGAGCAGAGTTCAAAATCCCTGAAGTAGTAGTGTGAGATACAGTAGATAAGCCATTAACATTCACATCCCCATTCAAACCTGGAAGAAAAATAGAGAAGAATCAGCTATGAATATATATGCAATAACGCTATGAAATAAACCTCAAAAACAGTGAAGGGATTCCTCTGTTAACTTCAGCTTTTGGGTCTCAAGGGAACACTAAACCTGGATGTTCCCGTGTCTAAGCTTAGCACTGCTGCTGAGACAGATAAGTAAGGGGCTAGGAAGTGTCCTAGGTATGCCACAGGAGCTAGTGGCAGCCATGGATACTGCTGCTGCAAGCTTTCTACTACATGGAGCTGCACAATGACTTTCCCGCCCTTATTCCTTATGGGAATTCTTTCGAGGGGGGGGCGGTTATGACTGAATTTTCCAATTCCCAATACCCTCTTTCCTTAGTGCCTATTTGGCCCTACAGTGGCACCAGAAGGGACAGCCTCCACCTCACTGGCACATGCAGATCCAGCACTTTGTGCTGGGCTAAGAATAGAATTTGCAGTCACCACAGTGACAAAATTCCAGCTCAGAAGGCTGGGTTTAGCCCCTCCCCATAGCCCCAGGAGGGTAATATGGAGTAGGTAAAAATCTTTGCATGACCAGTGCTGCAAAATACAGCTCTGAAAATAGCCATCTTTGAGTTTGCATCAGACAACAATTATCGGGACCAAGATAATAAAGAAACTTCAAGCAGGTGTCTGTGTATGGGGGGAATACTACAGCAGGTGGGTGGGTATGTATGTGTGGAAAGTCCAATGAAATAACAGGGCTTGCATTCATATGCAAGTGCCCTATATACGAAAGAGAAAGTAAGTACAAGTCAGAATTTTTCTACTGCAAGGAAAGAAAAAGCACATGAAATTCTACTTCTATGAAAATTTAGAAAGGAAGCTGATAGAAGACTGAAGCAGGACTGCCACCATGGTGTTCAAGGTCATCCTTGGCTAGAGTAAGTCACTACCCCAGAAGAAAAAAGGAAAAGAAAATCACCTCCACAGCAGCACTTCCAGAGAATGAAAAGCTTTCTAAGGAAGCACTGCGCCCCTCACCTTCTGTGCATAGCACTTCTACGGCAGGCCTTCCCTGCTGCACAAGTTAGAGTGTATTTATCATAACCTTCACCCACCTCCCTCACCCCTAGTCCAAACCAATTTCCCAACCCTTAAGACAGCTCCCAGAGAGCTTTATGTGCCACAGGTCCACCTCCTCATTATTAGCAACAGCAACTACCTCCTTCTCTGTTCCCAGTAGCCAGGGAACAGGGCTGACAAAGAGCAAGCTAAGATGAAAAAGCTTCTATGTTTTTTCTAATCTTCTAGAAATCCAAAGTCAAGACAAAAAAAGCAGCTTCCATAAGCCCTATAACTTGTTCTCAGAAGTCTGATTTCTCCCTATCAATTAGTAAGTTCTATGGATTTATTTCCTCTGTCACTACCTGCCAGGAAAGAGTTGTTGTGGGGTAGCTAGCCAAAAGTAGATCTCAATCTCTGATCTAAAGAAATGATGCCATTCCCTCCCCAGGTCTTAAGGCCTCCATACTCACTTTTCCCTTGCTGGGGGAAGTTCATGGGAGACCCGTTAGTGTAGAGGCCCTCCCCTGATGAAGGAGAGGGTTTCAGTCCTGAGGCAGCTGGTGCAGGGGGAAGGCCAGTAAAGTTAAAATGGTCGTTCGCTTCCATTTCTGCGGGAGAGAGAAAAGAAAAAAATACTCATGGTTAAGTGAGGTTATATCATCGAGGAAGTACCTCTTGCCATCCCTTTACTAGCCCTTCAATTTGGGGGTGCTGTGAGAAGGTGCATATGGAAAAGGAGAAGAAAATACGGCCTTAACGGGGTCAAAGACCCAACTGTTAAGTCAAACACAGTACCACACCTATAAACTCAGCACACAGCAAACTAGGGCAAAGGATCACAGGTTTAAGGCAAGCTTTTACACACTGTCTAAAAGCAAGTTGTTAAGATAGGCAGAGAGATAAAGTTAACTATCAGTGATAGAGAAAAATAAGTTAGTGTGAAAAAAACAATAAGCCTGGAAGAGCCTAACCTTATATTAAGTTCTACCGCTTAATTGCTGGCCCAGGATATAGTCTTCTTGGACATTAGCTCTTTAATTTAACATTAGGGTTAGGATTTGTGCATTTTTTTAAGATTTAATTTTTTAATGTGTATGTATGTTTTACCTGCATGTATATCTGCATACATATATGCAGTGCCCACAGAGGCCAGAAGAGTGGATTGATCCCCTGGGACCAGAGTTAGCAGACACTGTTGGCTGCCATATGAGCGCTAAGAGTGATGCCCAATGCCTATTAGCACTGAACCATCTCTCATGAAACAGCCCCACATTTGATATTCTTTATCCTTTTGTTTTCACCCTGACCATGGGTCCACAAAAGTTGTCAAAGCCATCTTTTTGGCAGAAAGCTATGGATGTAAGGTTGCTGGGGAACACTATTTTAAGGTGTGTGACTTTTGTTTATCTCTGTAAAGGTGTGACTCTTTGCCTGTCTAATAAAGAGCTGATGGCCAACTGTGAGGCAGTGGCAAAGATAGGCAGGGCTGGCAAGCAGAGAGTATAAATAGAAGGGTAAATCTGGGAGGAGAGAGAATGAGGAGCAACAAGAGAACAGGGGTGAAGGACTTCAGGGGCCAGCGACCCACCCACCTACCCAGCCACAGAGTAAGAGTGAAAATAAGATACACAGAAGAAAAGAAAAAAAAATCCCAGAGGTAAAGATAAACAGGATAATTTAAGAAATGCTGGCTAGAAACAAGCCAAGCTAAGGTCAGGTATTTATAACTAAGAATAAGCTGTGTGTATTTATTTGGGAGCCAGGTGGTAGGCCCCTCAAAAAGCCAAAGAGTATGAACAAAACAACACCAAGCTGGGCAGTGGTGGCCTTTAATCCTAGCATTGTGAAGGCAGAGGCAGGCAGATCTCTGAGTTCGAGGCTAGTCTGGTCTACAAGAGCTAGTTTCAGGACAGGCCCCAAAGCTACGGAGAAACCCTGACTCGAGGGAAAAAAACAAAAACACACAATACACAGTGTTAGCAAGAAATGTATACTTGATGTATATCCTGTTTCATTACTATTCTGTTTTGACAGAATCTCTTTACGTAGTCCAAGTAGGCCTTGTACTCTGAATCCTTCTCCCTGAGACTTCCAAGTACTGTGTCCATTGTTTTCCATCTATAGCCCCAGACATAAAAACACTGTAACAGCCTGGGTAGTGATGGTGCGCACCTTTAATTCTTGCACTCGGGAGGCAGAGGCAGGAAGATTTCGGTGAGTTCGAGGCCAGCCTGGTCTACAGAGCGAGTTCCAGGACAGGTTCCAAAGTTACAAAAAACCTGTCTTGAAAAACAAAAACAGGGGCTGGAGAGATGGCTCAGAGGTTAAGAGCACTGACTGCTCTTCCAGAGGTCCTGAGTTCAATTCCCAGCAACCACATGGTGGCTCACAGCCATCTGTAATGAGATCTGGTGCCCTCTTCTGGCATTGCAAGCATACATGGAAGGAATGTTGTATACATAATAAATAAATAAGTCTTAAAAAAAAGAAAAACAAAAACAAACAAAAAAAACCCTCTAATGTAATATAATGGTTTGAAATATATACATTAGCTGGATGTTGGTGGCCCACGCCTTTAATCTCAGCACTTGGGAAGCAGAGACAGGCAGATCTTAGTGAGTTCAGGACCAATGTGGTCTACAAAGCGAGTTCCAGGACAGCTAGAGCTGTTACACAGAGAAACAAAACAAATGAAAAAGAAATACATACATTACACATATGTGAAATTATAAAGTTTACTGGCTCACTGAGGAACAGTATGGCTAAAAGCCTCAATATCTATTGAATATAACATGATATATTACTAGAAATAGTGAGAAATGAAGGCCTTGATCAAAATAAACTTAACTCTGATTGAGAGCATCCAGGAGGAACAAAAGCAGAAACAAAAATTATTGGAAAAGTCTGATCTGCTATTTGCGATGTACTAGTGATTATTAACCTAATATGTGAGACTCTTATTTTTATACAAAAAAAGAAAAGTTCTTGGATTATGTTAACAGCTTCTGGAGGACATAATAATTCACAATGAAAGCTTTCCTTTTTTTTCTATTTTTGTTGAGACATCACACAAGTGAAGTTAAAATGGTCACAGCCTTGGCTGGCATCAACTCAGAGACCTGCCTATCTCTACTTCTAAAGTGCTAGGATTAAAAGCATTGGCCACCACACCAAGGAGTCAGAAAGCTATCTTTATAAAGTTCCTAAACTGAGGAAATAACCAACCTAGGTAATATTTTAATTATATTTTTTAAAGGATAAATAAGTTGGTTATGAAAACATGATCACTGGTCAACATATACCTGCTGTCACGTGCCTACAAGCCCAGTATTCAAAAGGCTAAAAGCAAGAGGATCAAGGTTCAAGGACAGACTAGACTACACACTAAAATCCTATTTCAAAGCAAGCAATCATGGTTTATGAATATGCTATATACTGAAAATCAGACACCACTCGGTATATGTGTCAACAGTCTACACACATACACACTAGCTGTTGCATGTTTGTAGGCACGAGCCACGGCATATATGCAGAGGTTAGAGGATAATTTGGAGAAATCAGGTCTCCTGTGGGTCCCAGAGACTTAATTCAGTCCTCAGGTCTGGCAGCAGGAAACTTTACCTGACATCTCATCAACCTCCACAACAATTTTTTTTAAAGATTTATTTATTATGTATACATTTCTTCCATGTATGCTTGCATGCCAGAAGAGGGCGCCAGATCTCTTTTCAGATGGTTTGGAGCCATCATGTGTTTGCTGGGAATTGAACTCAGGACCTCTGGAAGAGCAGTCAGTGCTCTTAACCTCTGAGCCATCTCTCCAGCCCATCCACAACATAATTTTGAATATAAAATATAAATCCCATGTAGCAAACAGCATGATAATTCTAGAATTTTATAGTTTAGATATCATGATTGTCACAGTCAATTTTAACTAAAAGAAATAAAAATAAAAGCAATTTATGTTCCACTTAAGAGAGCAGTGAGGTAGGGGAGAGTTAATTAGGTTTTGCTTGCTTGCTTTTTTGTTCTTTAATTTTTTTCAAGACAGAGTTTCTCGGTGTTGCCCTGTGTTCTGGAACTCACTCTATAGACCAGGTTGGTCTAGAACTCAAGAGATCCACCTGCTTCTGACTCCCAAGTACTGGAATTAAAGGCGTGAGTCACTACAGCTAAACTGTTTGTTTTTTGAGACAATCTTCCAGGTAGTCTTGAGTGGCAACAATTCACAGCAACTCTTCTGCCTCAATTTTCTGAGTACTGAGATTATAGGCATATGTCACCAAGCTCAACTCAGGAGAAATTTTTAGTATTAGTTTATCTTTCTTATAGAATGTCCCAGGTTCGTTCTAAAATTACAGTAAGGGCCGGCAAATAGCTCAGCAGATAGAGGTGCATGCAAGCCAAGCCTGATGAACAGAGAGAAACAACTCTCAGACTGTTCTCTCCTCTATACGCCTGCTGTGACACCTATCCACCAGCAGGCACAAGTGCAGACATGAACACACACGCATATAAACACGTTAACATAAGTCGTGATCACGTCTCACTTTTGGCTAAGATCAAGTGTAAATTAAGTAGCAGACTTCAATCTGCTACACATCCATGAAAAATCCTATCAACAGAGAATAGACTGCAGTCTTCCAGATCTTCCCCATCATAGGGAAAGCCCATTCTTTAGAACACAAGTCCAAAAAACAAGCATCGTAAGATTAATAATCCTGACTAAAACACACAAAAAATAAAACTAAGTCCTTGTTTTTAGGTTGGGTTTCTCCTTAAGCTTCCACAGAACAAAGAACATGCAGGGGTTCACTTTGGAAATTCTGGGAAGAAGCCAGAGGAAGCAATCCCACCTGTTCTGCACTGCCCTCTCTCCTGCAGTTTAGGCAGTCACACTCCACCTGGCACGAAGTAACACATCTTTCTTCCTGTGTCCTCTCGATTATACCCTCAAAAATGGGTCACAGTTCATTTTTTTGTTTTTGTTGTTGAATCTACAAAGAAACTCTGAGGAAACAGCACATCCTACTTCATAAATGTCATACTGTTAAAGGTAAGTGGACAACGCAAAGAAATCAGAGACGTTAACGGAACAAAAGCTATTTGGCCCCTGAGTCTATGTCCATACCTGCCCCAGCTGAAGGGTCACAGGAACCACAGCTATTTCATTCATTCCTAGACATGTTATGAGATCGGTATATGAAATCAGGCTCAAATCTCAATTCTACTGCTTCCTAGCACCTTTGCCTTGGACAAATTTCTTGCTGAGCCTTCATTTAGAAAAATTTCATTATGAGCTTCTACAGTTTGAGGGTTAAGCAAGAATGAATAAATACACACACACACACCCTTGTATTAAATGTTAGGTTTTGGTGGGCAGCAGGAGGACATGCCCTTAATCCTCAGGAGACAGAGGCAGGTGGAACTATGTGAGTTAAGAGGTCAGCCTGGTCTACAGAGTAAGTTCCATGATAGACTCCAAAGCTACACAATGAAACCCAGTCTCTAACAACCCCCCAGATCCCCCAAAAGTTAGGTGCTTTGTTTGTTTGAAATAGGATCTAGCTATGTAGACTCAAGTGGCCAGGGATTCTGAAATCCCCCG